TCTGCCTCTAGAGCCAGAAAAGATTGGTTGTTACTGTTAATGGACTCACAATATAAGTTGTGTTCTATTTTCTGCAGCAAGTACTGGATTACTTGATCTCCATACCAAAAAAAGTTATTGTATTGACATGGTTCTGTATTCTCAATGAAAGTATTTTCCTAGGTTAACTAAAGAGACTTGCTTTGAAGACAGAAGATCTAAATCGACATTTCAAAATAAGTAACACATTCAAATAAAAAATGTTTTCAGAAAACTATTGAAGAAAAACATGCAAAAAAACCACCTGGTTGATATTTGCATGAAAGCTAATTGTAAAGATAAACTACTTAAGATTCTCCATTGTAATAATGAATTAAAAAGAAATGTCTCCTCCCTCCACATGATGTTCTTCATAGTTATGTCATCAGGAGATGCAATACCCCTCCTTTACTTACATACAGAATATGCAGATATCACATCTTGTGAAATTAAGTCAAAAATATGTGCAGGATACATATAGGAACCCAGGTGTTCGGAAGAACCAGGCTGGTTTCAGATGCAATCATTTCACTACTAAACTGAATATATACTCTGCTTACATTATTTGATAAGTATTTTGGCAATATTATAATAGCCTTGCTTTTGACATTATGATACTAAGTAATGCAATTGCTCTCAGTAGTCCTATTAAAATAATTTGTACAAGCTTGCTGGGTGTGTTGGCTGCAGAGTATTAGGAACTGGGTTGAGAGAGATGCACCACAGGGACAATGGAGATACCACTGCATCAACCAGCATTTAGCTTCAGAATAGGTAACAGGTTTAAAAAAAAAAAAAAATAGAGCACCATCTAAGTCCTTTCTATATAAGATAGAAAATCAGCTCTAGATACGGCTTCATTCATGCATGACAGGCACCAATCATACCTAATCATAATAAATGCACAGGGACTATTCTTCCTTTTACTACTGACAGAGAAAATGCATCTTGACTATTAATTCTCATTTATATGTAAATAGAAACAAATACATTAGAAGGATGAAGGTTTCTTTTGTCCAAGAATGAAAGTATGTTTCTCAGGCTGTGGATTTACCATCGTACAGCTGTAAAAATGCACATTAAGAGTATCTAAAGACCATCCAGAAAAAAAAAAGATAATAAAAATAAAAATGAACAAAAACCATTGAAAGTACCCCAGATAACTCTTTCAACTGAGGAAGCTCTGGGCAGGTCCCTGTGTCCACTCTCATCCCCATTAGTGAGGACTTCCCCAGTCCCCACCTGCATGCCCCAGACCAGCCCAGTTCTTTGCCCAGCATCACGATTCCCACCCAGTAGCATTTCACGAGGAGCTTTTATCCTTTTCCCCTTTCCCCACTTGGGGTGGCTGAGGTAGCCAGAGGCATTAAGAGCTTTTATAATGCTGTAAAAACTAAAAGAACTGATGGGGTTGGGAATCACACAGCTCCAGTCATTCTGTCTGTAGAAGGAGGAAATCTCACTGTGTTTTGCTGGAGGGCCATTACTCAGCTGGACTTAAGGGACAGCAGCAGATCTTATCATCGTTTCAGCCTTGTTTCTGACTCCATTGGAAACTGCTCTCCACTGAGCTGATTGCCAGCAGTTTCTGGGCAGTTGGGCAAGGGAGGCAAAATGTGCTGCATGAGATGCCAGCTGCACTGTCTTTGGTTTTGCCTTAGGCTGCAGATGTGCCTTAACTACTTGAACTGAGTTGATGGGCTTGTGGCTTTTCAAATCAATTTACGCTGCCTTTGTATCAGGTAAACCCCACAATGCTACCGGAAATGGTTTGTATCAGAAATAAGCATAAAAGAAGGCTACAGCACATCTAATACACACAGCAGCAAGAAATCCTGCAGCATTTATACTTTCTGTGTGAACAATTTCTGTGTTTGTCACATGCTGCTTCCCACATCTGGCCAAGGCACGCATCTCAACTTGTCAGGGAATGTTGCTATTTCTAGTTTCTGCTTTGCAGGCGTGATGCATGCAACTGTATGTGACCTAGCAACAGATCTGTAAGAGCAAATAATACCAGAGCTGATGGGAATAAAATTAATATATCTTTTACAGGACACAGCTGCTGAGCTTGTGCTGCTCCCTGCTCAGAAATGTGATGAAAAATGTTCCCCATTTCCTTATGCGTGTACATCCACGCGAGGCAGTCATTTCTTATTACGCATCTATTTAGCTATACATCACACGGAGAGCAGCCTCGAAATTCAGTCAACACAAATAACAAAAGTAACAAGGAATTGCATGATGAGGGCTTATCAGGGTAATTCTGTTACATAGCAAGGGAGCTGTGGCTGGCAGGAGCCGCGCACACTTCTCATCTGCACAACCTCTCCACTCGCAGAATTGACGGCTGTCCAGTAGATGGTGGTGTTATGTCAACTACTCCACTCCCTCGGTACAGCCGCTGCAGAATTTCAGGCTCCTAGAGCTGCACTCAGCTTCCTCAGATCCCTTCTTGCAGAAATAATTCACATAGTATCATTTGAATTGGAAGGGATCTTCAAAAGTCCATTTGGACCACCTGCCTACAGTGCATAAGAGCACTTTCAGGTGCACAGAACCTGGTCCAGCCTCACCTTGAGAGGTCTGCAAGGATGGGCATCCAACACCTCCGTGTGCAACAAGTGTCAGTGCTTCACTCTCCATATCACAAAGAATTGTTTTCCTACATCCAGCCTAAATTCCCCCTCTTCTAGTTTGAAACCCTCTCTTTGTCCTATTGACTGTCACCTAACCACGCAGAGTCAGGTAGGGCACATCAGAATGGGACTGCCTGAGAAGTACAGAGAATATATTTTTCTTAATTTAAAGCAATTTATATTTAAAACATCCATAATCACAATAGTGACTTAAATACAATATTCAAATTTTGGCAACAAAAAAATCCAGTATTTGACAATGATAGGTCAGCACATTAAAAACATGTCACTCAAAGCAAATGCTCTTTGCTGGGGAAACAAAGTTTGTAATATTGAGTTAAAACAGTGGTGACAGAAACATGAACAGTCATGTACAGCTGGTCTGTGTGCCCAGCAGTGCCAGGGTGGGAGCTGAGGAGGTGCAGAAACACTTCATGCTGCAACATGCTGCTACAGACACCATGACTCCTTCATTGGGATTGCCAAGATTGTGTATGTATAAACCCATTGACCCCAAAATGACTTAGCACTTGCTAGTCAAATGCTAAAGTCAAGCCAAACAAATACAAATATCATCAAATCATAAAAACCACAGAATGGCTTGGGTTGGAAGGGGCTTTGCAGATCATAAAACTACAGAATGGTTGGGTTGGAGGGGCCTCAAAGATCATCCAGTTCCAAACCCTCTGCCATGGACAGGGTTGCCTACTAGTAGAGCAGGCTGCCCAGGCCCCATCCAGCCTGACCTTGGACACCTCGAGGGATGGCAATTCTGGCTATTTCTTCTTCATGTTCCAGGACCAAAATAACTTAATTTTCAAAATATCTAAATTAATTCAAACTAAAGAAGCCTTAGTAATGTTCTTGATGTGTCCTAGTGTGAAAAGAGCCTTTCAATTACACTTGCCACTGGTCTGTTGAATGTCTGTGTACCAGAGAACATTTCTGCACAGACGATTAGAAAGCTTTTACATGTAACCCAATGGAAAATAAAAAGTAATCCCCCTGTTTAGACAAAAAGAACCAATAAAATTCACTTAAGAGTGGAACTAGTGCACGCTGAATAGCACACATTCAGCAAAACGATGAGCTTGAAGTGGACCTTAGAGAAATGGTAAATTTCACCCATGCGATGCAAAGAACAGGGTTACAAGATAACAGTCATGGGAATTAGATCTGTAATAATCTAGTCTAGACTTAATTAGAGCAATGTGCTGCACTGCAAGAGGCTTTCATGTCTTTTCTTCCCTTTTTTTTAAGTTAAGGCTATCTCTGAAGTACTAGGATAGAAGATACCATGAAGCAATCTCAGCCACAAAAGACTTAAATATGTTGTCCAGTGAACAGTCTATCAGAATTATCAATGAGCAGCAGTCAAGGGTTTGTTCTACTAGCTGTCCATTTAGCCTTTGTCAAGTATTTCTATTTACCAGAATTTCAATGGTAACATGTAACAACCCCACAACTCCAGGGTCTTTTACTGACTGTTCTCTCCTTAATTTCCATCATCATGATTATTCATCATTACAGCCACATTCTTAAACCTGACTCAAAACAGAGTTTTCCCTTCTTTTGCTAGATTTACAGCTCAAACTGAGTTTTAACCTCTGAAACATTCATTTTACCCTACAGTTTTAATGAAAGAAAACAAACAACCTTCCTATGTATGACAGTTACTATAGCAGGGTAGGAGAAAAACAATTTTTTCAAAACTAAATATCAAACCTGATTATTTATATAATCCTTATAATAGTATGAGTACAGAAATCTTTAATACTTTTAACAATCACTCGCATCATTGCATGGCTGACCTGTTTCACTTGAGAAACATGATAAGCCTTCTAGAAGTTTGGATGCTCACAGTAACAGATATTGTGGATTCCCCAGCCTTTACTAAGCTCAATTAGATGGCAAAAACTGGATAGATTCTCTCTTCCACAAAAAATACTGAAGAAATGTCTCTGCAACCAGAGGCACCCTGCTGCACTGAGTCATTCTAGACTTCACTCTTCACCTACTAAAGTCAATGAGGGTTTTATTGCTGATGTTTTTTGAGAGCAAACTCCATCCATCCATCTCTGCCAGCTGGCTTTTAAAGTCCCTTCTGCAGCACTTCATCCAAGTTGAGAACTTAATTTAGTAAACTCAGACCAGAAAGACTACAAAAGCAGCTAGAGAAAGTGGTACATTTAAGATTTCAGTTACTTTCTTTTACTTCAAGTACTTATAGTATTTCATCTGTGCGTAGCTTCAGTCTATTAATTTTCAAAATTAAAACAATTATAAGCATGTAACAAATACTAACATAAGGCATTAAGGGAGAAAATTAACTGTCAATCTTACCTTCAATCTTCTCTCTCTGCAAGCTGAGTGATGTAAAGCGATGGTGTGCCGCACTGGATGAAGGAAGTCCCCGTTGCTAGCTGAGCATCAGTGTGGTTGTGTAATTTTGGACCAGTCACTTGAACTTACTTTCTTCACTGAAACCAGAACAGTAATTATAAGTAACACAGAACCAGAATGAGAACTGGTCTTCATTTACAGAAGTGCTTTCCAGAAAGGTTAATTCTGGAAGCATGATTCTGTTAAACCAGTTCAGCACTCTAATGAATGTTACACATGCAAGCAATTCCACATACACAGAGTGCAGAACAAATTTATGAGATTTAAGTGAGTTCGTTCAGTTTTTCCTATGTGCTTTGCACCAGAGATCTTGAAAGATCCTAAAACCTACAGATAATAAAGTGCTGTTCAAACTCAATTGCTAATTAAACTAAGACCTTCTTTCTACCTTTTTTATTAATTTTAATGTAGCTAGTTAGCTAAAGACATGATTTATATAAATGGTGCAGTTTGCCTTTCCATATTCATAGATTATCTGCTGCAACACTAAGGTTCGCACACAACAACAAAGGAGGTCCAGTTTTTCCCTCCTGCCTGTATGCTTGCTCCAGCTGATTGCTGGCTGGACTGGTGATGGTACAGTCATTCCCTTTTTAGAATCGTTAAGGTTGGAGAAGACCTCTAAGATCATCAAGTTCAACCACCAGCCCATCAGCAGACTAACAACAGGGCTGAGGATGCCCAGCAATCTCAACAACCTTTGCAGCAGAAGTCATCACTAACTTTTAACTGTGGCTGACCTGATCCCTGCGTGACAACCTTGCTTCAAGCAGACTGGAATAGATGACCTTGAGACATCCCTTCAAACAGCATTTCTAAGCTTCCCAGCTCCTGCCTGACCAGTAGTGCAAAATGAGCGTAAGCATAATGACAAAAGCCAGGCTTTATGTGGCTCATTAACTCATAAGAGATTAGCTTGGGAACACCTGGAGATCCTCAGGTTTCACTTTGATTTGCATTCACCTGTGAACTTTTCTGAGTACGCCACTCTGGATCTCTTACTCTTAACTCCTCTCTAACAGCCTATGATCCATATTATGAAACCAATGTAAATGAGAGATGATGAAATGCATTTATAAAATGAATTGTGGATATCATGAAATGTATTTTTAAACTAAGATGATGGTTGACTTTCAACAAAATTCTTAGTCTGTTAACTGTTCCTAAGCTGCTGCTGATTCTCTTGCAACTTAATAACAGTTTTGTTCTTTTCAGTAAAATTTCTTCAGCCCTTACATACACAGCAATAGAATATTAGTTCTGAAATCTACTTTTACCAAATCAATGTTATTTACTTTGAAGTCTATATGTAGCTACTCAGAAACACATATTGAAAAGAACAAAAATAAAAAATAAAGTACAGCATATAGATGTGGAAGGATGACTGGCAATAACTGAAATAATGTATGAAGTTATCATAATATAAAATGTATGTGTTTGATAAAAAAAAGTTATAAAACAAATAATACTACTGGGAAATCATTGCCGTTATATTCCACCACAGTCTAAAAAGAAGATGAATACCCTTTTACTGGATGGCATTTCAGGAGGAGCCCCAAAACTTCATACTTCAGGAGTTACCAGGATTAAAGTACACTTATGCACACAAAAGTTTAAGCATGTGCACGAGTTTGCACGTTCATTTTCATGCAGTTTCACTGTGAGCTAGCACTTGGAGTCAGCAGTGTTGGAAACTGGTTATGTTTCAGATGTCCTTCACAGGTGGAATTTCTGCTTCACCTGGTGGTGCCAAACCAGTTTTGTGCAAGCTATAGTTCAAGCCCCTAGAAGAGGCATGCAGGCAAATTCTTCCAGATACTCTGGGCTTGAATTACCCTGACCAACATAAGTACATATTTCAAACTCTGATAGTGCACATGGTATTGGTTGGTAATAAGGAATATCCTGACAAGAGATCAGTTAAACATCTTCAGAATCAACAAATACAGTGTGATTAACCTTTTCCTGAGTAAACAACCAGTATATTGAACTTCCTTATTTAAAATTAGTCTACTGTTAGGATAAGTCTAATAATACCATCATTAAGTCAAATAAAATAATAAAGATGGACCTATAGCAGGCAGGTAAAATTTAACAGGAAAAGCTCAACAAGAGATTTGCTCTGTAGGTTGATTACAGTATGAGAGAATGAGTAACATCCATCATGCTTGTATAACCAATGCATATACAGATCTTATAATTATGAAAAACATAAGAGAGTTTGGCTAAGCAGGTTATTACACCAAAAAGAGAATAGATAGAGTGCTTACCCTTATCCTGGGCACACTGTAAAACTCCAAAGGAGGGATCTCCACAAAAAGATCTTTCCACCCCAGTAGTCAGCTCTTAAATGGGTCCAGGAGAGGTGCAGCCAGGCTCCACCCCTTCCAGCAGCACACATGAATTGCCTTCACCTGTGCTCCCACAGCTGGCTCATTACTCACCTCAGGTGGTCAATCAGAGGTTCAGGCCCCAATTCAGCTGTTCCCTTACAGTGCTCACTTTTCAGTTAGCACAAGATTGTCTGCCCATTGTTTCTTCTATGTCCTGACTGCTTTAGACTACTGTGTTCCTGACTGTGAGACTTCTGAGATAATTTAGCAACAAAATAGGTCCTATTGACAAGATATAAATTTTACTCTTTATTGGTGTTTGTCAGAAATTCCACTCCTCGCTCTAATAAGTGAAAAAATATAAAGCTTAAGCTCTTCTTTGCAGAGCTTTTTGTTAAATACTATAGAAATGGAGTTTTAGAAAGTCATACTGAAATTAAGATTTATTATGGACATATTTGTTAAAATTTAGCCAGTTTCATTTGCAAATTTGGTCCTTTGTATCTTCTAATAAGTCATAATAATTTGATGTCCTTTATCTCAAATTTCTATTATTCATTAAGAAGTGGTTACTCTATAATGCTAGCAATTCAGTCTGCTATTCAAAAGAATTTTTTTTCAAAAATGAAGCTCTAATAAACATGTTATTTTCAACAGAGCTTTCCTTATTAAATATTTTTGCAGATTAAATCAAGGATGAAGAAAATTGTGATGTGGACAAATATGTAATAAGTTACTGGCTAACCAGGCCTGTCTTTGACTTACTGAGAAAACTGTTCTCCTTTGGTAAATGTTAAGGATTGAATTTGAAAAACACTAATTAATGTGCATATCTCATATTGATGCTCAGAAGGACATGGCTTTCAAGGTCAATAAGCCATTTTTAATTATTTCATCTTCAGTCTTTAACTGGAGACTCGCATTATCACAGTATTCAAGAACAAGTGATGTTCCATATATAAGAAATTACCCTAATGACTGAAAATAAAATGAAAAAAAAAATCAAAATCCATTGTGTTTAACTATTTAACACCTCTTATCAGAACTGTCTTTGGCAGAGACTTGCCTGGCATTGGGACAGGGGATCCAAACATCGCTTGGATGCTATTCCTTGTATGGTTGGGGAGGAAGAAGCATATAATGAATGCAAAACAACTGAATTCTCAATGTTTTGGCCTGGACACAAAGTGCATTATCACTATGGAGAATATCATAAATAAAATTTGATTTAACTATACATAGCAAATGTCATGTATAATGTGTTAGTAGGAACAGCAGACTGAATGAGTGCTCGTAGAAAAGAAGTACTGATGTTACAATCAGCAACAGAGTGAAAATGAGTGTTCCAGAATAGATTTCTTCTTGGCTCGTTATTAGATGTAAAAAGCACTACCTGTCCTTCTCCAGGGAACAGTATACTGTTTGTTTGTTTTTAAGGGAAAAAGCCAAAAGGCAATAAAGTGGGATCACACAATCTGCCAGCAGTGCAAACAGTGAAAGCTGGACACGTACATCCCCATAACGCTTTGTAAGGTGACAACTGACACTGATAAATGCCATCAGACCACACCTCTGCCCTCACACTGCTCGTCACAGTCTTGCCAAAAAAAAAGTAACGTAAGAATTAAAACGAGTTCTGTGAATAGCAGGAGGCTTTTGAGACGTCAAATTATTAATTCATCCATATAATGTAAGCTTGTAAAATCCCAATGTGGAAACCACTCTGGTTGAAATGAACTGCCCCGTGTCTTGTCTTATAAACGAGATTCAAGGCCTATTTCCAGCTTTCTCAATAGCAGCACGGTGACCCAGAGGGAGTCACCCATCTCCCCTGTGTCTCAGCTCTCAGCTGTGAAAAATGGGTTAATAACATCCATCTCGTGGGGAAGTTGTGGGCTTGTATTTTTCAGTGAGATTGGGGATGGCAAAGAAGAGCAGTGAAGTAATTGACCGATACTGGCCAAGTGCTCGGAATGCTAATATCGAGTAGTCTTATTTTATTCAGACTTTCTTATCTTTAATTTCCCATTTATAAGCCAGTGAGCATATGGCAATTTTCTTAGTTATGAAAGATATTTTTAAAGGAAGTTTGCAAGCAATAGCATATCAAATGGTCTGAAGAGAGTGGCTGCATTTTGCTTCCTTTAGATTAACTTTCACAGTTGAAGCTTCAAAGGCGGAAGAAAAGATATATGGATACCTTTCTGTCTTTAAAAGCATTTGGAGGACTATAGCATGATCATTTTCTCCTCACATTAAACAGCCTGGTCATTTTTTGGTAACTTTCATTCGTTTCTTAATCTTGTGCTTTTATCAGTTTTAGTTTTCTCTTCAAAACGCACGTCTCACACCTCCTGCTCCTCTCGAGGCACTAAATGCACTGCTTCAAGCCTATGCATGGCTCAAGGTCAAAGTGTTTCAATTCCTGTCACTTGTCATATGTTTGGCAGTTCCTCTGGTGACCTGGCTGCTAACACGCCTGCTGTGGTGGGAGGCCAAAAGCTGCAGTCATCAAAGATTTTGATGGTGGCAGAACTGGCCCACCCTCCTAGGTGCCCCCATGTGGGTCAGTGCAGAGAGAAGGTGAAGGATGGCATCTGACATCCCCACATGGAGATGCTCCCAGAGTGGCTCTGATATTCCTTGGGACTTTGCAAGGGTGAGAACTTTCTTTCTCCACTCCCATTTTCATTTTGATTTGATTTCTAATCTGCTGAGCAGTCTTACCCTCAGCCTGGTTGATCCTTTAGGACACTCTCAGCCATGGTTGTTATTGAAACAACTACAGGAATTATTGTTTCCATTAGTTAAGTACTGATTCATGCATTGTTTCTCCTGGATAGACATCATACTTTCAGGATTGTATTCATACAATGGGATTAAGCTGTGGATCAGATTCATTTTCCTTCAACAGCTGCATTTTCTGAAGTACACAGCGTTTGCTTTGCGTGGTATAGAACAAACTTTTAGCACTAGTAGCATAAAAGATTTTCTCAATGCCACAATTTCTTATGACCTTCATTTTCAAAATCTGTCAGCTATAGTAATATGCATCATCACGCTGATGTGCACTGAATCTTCATTAACATTTGTGATTTCCATTGTATTTTCAAACTGCAGAAATCCAAAATTCTAGCAATAGGCACACAAGTATTTTGCTTTTGGTTTCAAATTGTGATATATCTTTTGTTAAATGGGAGCCTTTTAGGGACAATGGTGTTACCGATCTTATAGTCTCTGCAGTTGTTTGTTTCCATCAAACAGCTTTCTCTGTGCTGGAGTGACTGAAGTTTCTTCCAGTTCAGGAGCACTGCCACAAACAGAAAGTGCTTAAGAGTTTTTCTGACATGCATGAAATTCTGAGCCTTTTTTCTGCATGTCACTAATCATCTTATTTGGTCTTTAAGACTGAGGGTCATTGTGCAATGTTGTTTCAGAAGGCTTCAAAGATCAAGAAATATGAATCCATCATGGTGTGTAATTGGGTGTGAACTGCCATCCTCCCACAGCATACTCTTCGGCAATATCAGAAAGGATGCACTTTTACTTAAATAGTCGTCATAGCAGGATCTTGTCTCTTTGGTAACACAGCTTTTACAAACTGAGAATGCGGAAGGTAATTGACATAGCTGTTCAAAGAGATCAGGATCAATATTTGTGTGTGTTGCACAGCCTCTCACAGTACTGCAAGCCTTCTTCATTGTTAAAATGGAATGCATTTATGTTTTTTGTGCAGGGTAGCCCAGTACTCAACAAATCAAAGTCGCTACATAGAAGTCAGTACATGGCTGTCACTGCAAGTTGCCAGCCTGCCTGTTTTCAGAGGCGTCTTAGTGAAGGTCCACTCTTCATTCCATTATGGTGGGCAAGGGAATATTTGAAGTGCTTGATTGTCAGGGGGAGAGGGTTGTTATAACAGGGATACAAAGCCTGGTTCAGTCAGAGGGGAATGGTTTTTTGGGAGGGGAGTCCTCCTGGTTTTCTGAGAAGCCGTGAAACACTGTTGTTTCTGCTTTAAATCATGTTTTGACTCTTTAGGTTTTTAGGTTTTAGGTTTTTAGGTTTTGACTTTTTAGCTGAAATTTCAAATGCTTGCTTCATACTTACTGCTCTGTCAGCTGTTGTGCTATGATTCTACAGTCAATGAAGACAACTCTCACAATTTTTCCTCTCTTTATCTCCTTTCTTTGCTCTCTGCTTGTGAGACTTTTGGAGGACAGAGTCTATTTCTGAAGCGCTCAGAAAGAATCACTTGGATGCAGTGGCACCACAAATAAAATAAACTAAGAACAGAACAGAGACTATTCCCAAAGCAGCCTGATGTACTTTATTGACTCCCATTAGTCAACAGAATGTGTATGAGGAAATCATACATACAGATGACTTCAGAAACTGGGGCATATGTTTACCTTCTAAATCAAGAGTGCTTATAAATATCTGAAGTTGCATTCAGCTGGCTTGCATCATTTTAAATATATCTTGAACTCTTATATTACAAATCAGGGTGAATAAGGTTAGAGATTGCTCCCTCCTCTCCTTCTCTTACATATGTACATATATATATATATGTTTTTGGGGTTTTTTTGGACAAAATATTGTCACATAAGCTACAGAAGTGTATGGCAGGCTTTATTTAATAGAATTTTACAATTGATTTGCTGACAGGCTCTTAGTTTGTGCATCACTAGCCAACAGAGCTGCAATAAGGAGCTTTATCTGGGATTAAAGCCTCTGAAATTACTCATTAATTGGATTAATGAACTGTAATTCATCATGCATGTCAATCCTGTTTTTAGTCTAAGTCCTTCTTCCACTCTCCTTGTAACATTCATCCAAGTAAGACCTATGTTCTGTGAAAGTTCAAGAACAGTGTTAAGACTTTCATGATTTCACATTCGTTTAAATCCCTGATGTGAAAAAATTGCCCTTTTTCTTTCCCTGAACACCTCTCTAACTTTTCTTTATCTAATATTTAGAGTATTTCAGGTATTTTTTAAAACCCCTCATTTCAGATCTTGGATGTAGTGCTGATCTCAATGGGTTCTGTTATATTTTAAGGTTGCAGAAACAACTTCAATAGGCTTTTGTATTTAAGAAGTTAAAATACTGAAAGCATTTAGTAGGTTTTATTCTATTGTTTATTGATTTGTTTTTAATTTATTTTTCTGAAATGCATTGCTATCCATTGAAACGTTTAATTTAGTGAACAGGAAATACAACCTAAAAGTACTGGTAGTTTGTGGTTTAAAACTTTCTTTGTAAAACCTGGTCAATCTTGTATTTTTTTCTTACATGCTGATAAACAATCTAAAATGTTTTAAATTGATTTTTTATCTCTTTACTTCAGATAAGCGATTTCATTTACACTTTCAAAGGACACTTCTTCATTGAATATATAGAATATGCACTGCTTCCACGACGGCACTCTGGAACAGGAACATTAGCCCAGCTCAGCTGTCAAAAGCTGAAAAACAGATTCTGCAGATATCACTCCACTGGAGTTGTTAATAAATTGCCTCGGAGCTGGCTGCAGAAGAGTATGTGCATGGCAGGAAGTCAGAATTTGAAATGGAAATGTTTCTGAAGTTTGGAAGTTACCTAATCACACATCTTCCCATTTGCTCGGTGTGTGTCGGAGCCCCTTGGCCTGAAGCTCAGAAGGGGAAGGAGCTCTTTGCTTTCATATCTTGGTGGAGAGAAAGAGATGTTTCATCTGCATATCCCAGCAATCCACAGTTTTCGCAGACAGAAGTTCCTGAGGGAAGGGAGCTATCTACTCCCATTTATTTGTAGAGTAAGAGTCAAACATGGTCACAGAGGCAATTTAATGTACATATACTTTCTATACAGAGCATTTTCAGCAAAACGGCAGGACTCGCCCTGAAAGAAGTGCAGAACAGGCTGAGGAGTGGAGCAAAAAGAGCTTCTGCTATTTTGTATCAAGGAGCTCTTCCTCTGCTCCTGGCACCTCTGTTGATGGGAGGATGCTTTGATGAGAAGTGGTGGGAACTGCTCCTGGCTGAGACACATTGTGCAACATTTCTGTGGGTAGAGCTGGACCAGGCTGGTGAGCTGCTCAGTCTCAGGTGGTGATCAGACCTTTATGGATGGATCGATTAGAGAGGGCTGGGCTCAGAGAACAGACTGGAGGGCAGCCTGGGCTGGTTGCATCTCAATGCTGGTATTACAGTATGCCCTGGCACCAAGGCAGGGATGCAGTTAGCAGGGGAAGTGACATCCAAAATGATGTTTTTCTATGTGCTGCTCAGTTGGGCTGGTTGTCACTGAATTTAAAAAAGTACTGACTGTTTCTGTGAATCAATGCATTGCTTAACTTTTATAAGGAAATATAATACCTCTTATTAAGACAACTAATATAAAACAGATAGGCTTTCAGACAGAGTCCTTTTATCAGGCTGTCATGAAGAACCCAAATTCAACATAAAGTAGATCAGAGCCAACAGCTCATAAACCAGTTTTATTGTGTTAATCACTTTGTGGTGGTGAAGGGAGCTGGCACCTCAGAGCAGCAGGGGCCAGAGTCCAACACTGTAGTTTGGGTGGAAGGGTGTTTGGTATAGCAGGAAGGATGAGAAGAAGATTGCAACACACTTCTCACTTACTACTGAGGGATCTTATTTTGGATTAAATTATTGCATTTGTGATTCAATAGTTGTCAAGTCATCTATGGCACCCTACAAAGGGGCAGTGCCTCAGGGAAGATAAAGGTGGGGACAGAAACCACAGAAATTATCCAGCCCAAGCTATTTCTGGTGCTTCAGATAGTTTTTAAGGTAAACCAAACCAGCACATACAGCTGGTGAAACAGAGGGCACCAGGCTTTAACTAGCTACCTTATCTTTGTAGCCATGCCAACTTTAGTGCAATTATTTCTCTGTTTGTAAGTAGAGCTTAACAAAATGCTATTAATCCCATCAATTCACAGAGGCTACTCAAGCCAGAAATGGTTTCCTTCTAAAGAGGTCAAATTGCTGTTTGAATCTGGCCCTTACTGCTAACAGTACATAGCGAAAAGATTTAGAAAGATTAAAACTAAAGGCAGAAAAAGACATGGAAATTGTTTGAAATCTTTTACAGTAGGATCAAAACAATTTGGACTGTGTTTGAGGAGTGTGCTGACCCTTCTGCTTTTGGAAAACACAGTGGGAAGGTACCACTTCCCAAAGGTTTCTTGAAAGGGTAGAAGGCAGAAATGAGCACAGGGAACCAATGTGATCTCTTAAATATGACACTATTCTTTTGATATAAACTAGAGATATTTTGTCTTGTTTTCTTCCTTTTCAGAGAAAATCCTGAGATGATGACCCACAGATGTTGCCATCTTGTGGACAGCGAAGCAGAGGAGAATGTCAGTGGCTGCTGGAAAAACCAGCCTCTTCCAGTTCAGGTTACAAAGCTTCCAAGAATCACTGCACAAAGCTGAGCCAAATTCTGAGACTGAGATGCAAACAAACTCAAACACATGGCTGGCCTGTTCAGTTTAGGTTACACAGGTTGCCTAAACATGCAATTTGCAACCGGCATGCTTTTATAGCTGTAACTACAATCTTGATTACTCTGTTAGAGAAGCTCTGTTTGAACAGGTATGTGGTTTGCTCTAATTTATCCAGTACGTGGGGTATTGGACACAGATTTATGCCATCAGTTATGCCAGCCTCTTCATGACAAGAGCCAACATTGATTTCATGCTAAGGTGAAGCATTGTGTGGGCTGCAGTCAGGATGTGTACGTCTCAGTTACTGAAGGCCCACAGAGATTAAAAGCTGTCTACAGCTACCGATAACAGTATCAGACAGTTTCATTTACGAGCTGCCTTTTGGAGTCCTCATCCTCCAGGGTCTGTCCCTGATACCATCGATGCCAGCAGCAACCTGTGGGTGTCCATGAAGCAACTGATGCAAAACTTCAGCCGCCCAAGGCAAAACTGCCAACCCTGACCTCAAAATCTGATCAATTTGCAAGAAGTTTAACACGCAGAATTCAGGCTGTGGGATATGATAATGTGAACACATTGTGCAGAATTATCTCTTCATACATTAATGCACGGGGAGGGGGGTTACATTAAATTAAAAATGTGTTTCTGGCCATAATCTCTTTAGGAGAAAAACATGGTGGCACATCCCAAGGCTTGATCCCCAGTGCTGTCACATTTCCGTTCTGTCTGTAAGTGTTCTCTCTTCTGCAACAATCATATAGCCTAAGCAAAGCTCTTTTTACATCAAAATAAATCTTATTCTCAGCAGCTTGTCTTTTTCTTTATTCAAAGCAAACTTTTTGGAGCTTTTGTATACTGCAATATATACCTAAGACATTCTGCATCTATTGCAGTCTGTCTGAGTGTTGTTGATTTCCAAAGGAAGTATGCTGCAATGTCATTCTTCTCCTGAACTACCTATATTCTGAGTTTTGTTCTGTGTTTCACAGAACCCTGTCTCTCCAGTTTAAGTGCTACTCCAAGCAAACGATAACACTTCGCTTGTATTTTAGGATGTAGATTGAAGGCTAAAATTGCTTTTCTGAAAAATCCCACATCTTCCACAGCTGTGGAGATTTTCTGCAATGCAGCTCACGCTGATTCACATCAAGCATTTTTAGATGGCTGCCCCTATCAAACTCTTCAGTTGGGTGTAGAAATCAATGCCTGAACTCCAGAAAACACTGCTCAAATTATCATTTAAAATGTCAACACTGGCCATTATGAAAACTGAATTTCCAACTACTTCAAGTAGCAGCTTACAAAAGGAATTTTCTAGAGTTTTGAGATTATTGTGATGTATAGGGGAGAAAATACAATTGTATTTATAGTCATTGAAATGTATAAAAATTGTGCATAGATGATATTGCATTATCGTTGTATTAACGCTTAATGAGTTGATTACCATAACAGAAGGGTGACTGTTTCTACACAATTGCAAAAAAATAAATGAATTTAGTAAATAAAATCTGATTTTCTAATACTGCGCGTGATAAATTATTTCATGTAGTTTTACAAAGGGGTGAGTGTCAAAATATTAAAGAGAAAGTTTATTACAGATAATTGCTTTGTTTATGCTGTTTCTCTAGAGCTTGGGTAAGCAATTTAAGTTACAGAGATTTATAATTGTTTCCATGAAGATGTATGGAACTAAAAAATTGCAAGCCTATTAAATCCACCTATAAATCATTCTATACATTTAATTTCTTCTGTATAAATTTTATGAGTTCATATATAAAATACATCCTAAAATTGCTACATGCTTTCAGATGAACTGGCAATCGCATTTCTTCTCACCTTTTCATTATTACCTTCAGTCTTCAAATAGAATACATAGAAGTTCCCACAGGTTACTTAATATTAAATATTTAATGGCTGTTACAATTCTACATTAAAAATATTTGTGTAGGAATGTCGGGGATAAGTTCTGGAAATGTTGAGAGTAATGAGGCCTTGCAATGCTGCCCAGAGGTGCTGTGTTTGCCCCATCCCTGGAGGTGCTCAAGGCCATGGATGGGCCCTAGACAACATGAGCTGGTGGGGGGCACTGAGCTCATGCCATTGTCTTGGGTGATCTTTAAGATCCCTCCTAACCCATGCAATACTATGATACTATGTTTTTTTTTGATAGGACCAATTATGTGTTTATTTATCTGGAAGCCAGAGCAGCACTCAGCAAGCAGAGGAGAAAAACTGTCCAGGGATGGCCAGGGGCAGTTGGCAAGGCCAGGTAAAAGCAGCTCTGATGCAGGCAAGCCCCAGTGCTCTGGGCAAGAAATAGCAAAATCCCTGTTTTGCTTGCAAAACTCTCTGGATGTAGTTGAAAGCAAGAGGAGAGCACTGAAGCTCTTTCTCCTCCCTGTCCTTGGTAGCTCACGCTGTCCTGCTTTCCTCCCTCTTCTTGTCATTCTCAGCTGCTGCCAGCACAGAGCCAGACAGGCTTCTGTGAATCTTGTGGAGGTTTTGCTATAATTTTCAGAGGAAGCAGGACCTTGAATTGTGAAATCCCCTACAGATTTTTCAGAAACCTGTCAGGCTGCAGCATGACTGTGCCACTTCTATGGCAACGATGTGACATTGTTTACTTCTAATTGTTTTGACTGCTTATTCATTCAAGTGGATTATTACGCACATTTGTGCCCTGTGAGAGCTGATTCCTGAAAAAAAAAATGGGTGAGAAGATAGACTTAAAATGTCCTTTTAGCATTACTTTTTCCATATAGGTCAAATCTATGTGGAAAAAAGCTAAATGATGTTTGTGTTCGCATTTTGTCTAACAAAAGCAGAATTCTGATGGCAGTAATGATGAGATATGATTATTGAGGTTCCTTTTACAGTATATGTAGATGAGTTAAATATAATGTGGAGCTGAGGTGTCCATTTTGCCCAAATGTTCCATAGAAAATACCCAAGATGAAGTTTTGGTTAAGGTAAATTTAGCAAAACTTTTCCTAATATAATCCAACCTGGTAATGAAAGATATGCGTTCTTTCTGTGAAGGAGCTCTCTGGTCCCTCCTACTTGCTTCAGACATCATATTGACTAACTGATCCACAAGGATTTCCATTTTCTTCCGCCCTGCTACATGCATTTTAAATACAGCCAGGCTTCATTTATAAATTTCTTACTTGTTTCTGCGTCATTTTAAATGGTGTTTAAGAAGTTCAAAGCCATTTCGTTACTACTGCAGAATTTATCTATTGGGACATTAGAATAAAAAGTACTTATTTGCTTGGTGACTTCAATTGCACCATTGTGGGGTATCAGCTTGCATTTTAAAACAGTAAATTCACAAAATTACATTATGTTTATAGTTGTCATCAAAATATAAAAAGGAACATTAATCTTCTCAAATTTAATTTTGCTTGGGTTTTAATTCCATTGCTTATTGCCAGAGGGATTTACAGAATTTTTCTTAATATCTCTGACTTCACAAAGTTTATGTTCGAAAAAATGATATGCTATACTGCTGAAGTCATTTTCTAGTTGATAGTTTTAGTATTGCCCTCTTATTCTCTAATTATTTGCGTACAAGTATTATGATACTCCATTTTTTGTCCCAGTTCAATAGAAATTTTATATCTGCAATATTTCAGTCCTCAGCTGAAGCACAGTGCTGGGACTGTCACTGTGTTGGAAGAGGTTGAAGTTTCCAGACTTCTCACAGCTCTGCTCGGATTAGACGTGGAACTGAACACCCTACTGAGAAATGGTGCTCTGATACTTCTTTTTGCTGAGAAGAGCTTTTTATTATTCCTTTCAGGTTCCTTTTCCAGCAAACTTTACCTCTCCATCTCTTTCTAGTGTTAAATCTCCCAGCACATAGGCTGGGGCTTGCTGTAGTTGTACATGTCTCCACCTACTCCTCTCACATGAACTGAGAGAAGGAAGAGAACAACCCAGTAGATGTATTCCTCTGGGCGAACAGCACCATTCTGTACAAGTTTAACTCAGAATAAATATTAATAAATAGTTGTAAATATTTATAAATATTACCACGTAAGTACCAACTTGTCCTCCATGAAGAAAAACATGAAGATTAATTTTACTTTTCATAGGGAAGCATATAATATCTCTGGACATACCTGCTTTGTTCAGTTTTGAATAAGAGAATGCAATTTTGTCCCGAAATTTCAAAGTCTTCCATGAGATGCAAAGAGAGAAAGGTGGATTCGTCTGAGATGGCACATTTGTTTCTTGTCTGGCTGTGGGAAGAGGAGATAAAGTAAGAAGAGATGCTACAAGAAAATGATACTCTCGCCTGCAGCACAAAATGCTTCTGTAGAACAGTTTGTACTTGTTTGCTTTGCTTTTTGGTTTCCTAATAAAATAGAAAGAATATACTGAGAAATGGTGAGAGATGACTTACAGCTGGGCCTGCTCTTTTTCCTTTGCAATGAGGTGCCCAGGGTAACCTTGATGAGCCCCATTCCTTCGTGGGAACCGCCCCAAATTTTGATGACTTTTGGGGTTGATTGTATTTGCTAGTAGCCATCAGGGTGAAGAAATCAATCACTGACAAAATGATCACTTGGGGCAAATGTCTGATACTGGAGATTACAACAAACGTCCAAGATCACAGAGAAGTCTCTTTTATCTCTAATTTTTTTCCTCATTGCCTTAATCCAGTCTTCCCTTGCCTGAATTATTAGGGGCTGTTTTTCAGGTGTATCGATAGGACAGCAGTTCTTACGTTATGACATGAATATTTTCACACAGGCCAGGTTAGATCTTCATGTATTTCCTCGTGGATGTTGCCTTTCCAATTTCTTCTACAAAAGCATGCAGGGATCAGAAGAGATGATTCATAGTGCTTGCCAACCTGACTGGAGATAGGAAAATGGTTAATATGGACACATTCATTTAAATGACTCTTTTACTAGTCCTTGTGGGAAGACAATGAATTAATTGCAGAGATTAAAATCTCAAAAAATGCAACTGAGACAATACTTAGATAGTCATCAGACCTTATAAGTATTCCATGTGCCTGGGATTTTATATTGCATTTCTGTAATTTTCATACTGCTATTATCTGCATCTATTTTCAGCAGCTCTGATAACTTCAGTAAAAAGCTTATTTAATGAAAACAATAAAAAAATGTTTTCATAGTAGACCAAGTTAGTGTGGTTTTGGACTATCAGTCATTCTTATTTCTGGTTGGGATTTATTGCCTCTTTGTCACTTGTAGTCTACAGATTATACTTATCAGTTAACAGAGACCTGCCTGTGGTTACAGCTTAAGCATGTCAAGGTTGATTTTTTTACTTTCCACTGACATCATACAAGCCAATATCTGAATATCCTAAATTTCCAGATTGTCAGTGCATGGGATGCTTTGTGACACCCTCGCTGACATTGTTGAGGGTATAGCTGTGTTATGCATTATGTTAGTGTCTAATTCATGGGTCTCTGAATATACAAATATGAACAAGCTCTTATGAATGGGATAGTTCTCACAAGATCATTGGAATTGAGATGGTTTGTGTTCAAGTTTAAACTCAAAATTGAGAAAAATGTGCTAAATTTCAGACTTTTAAGAGTTCTTTTTCTATTATCAGTCTTCTAAAGTCTGTGTCAAGGAGGGAAACTAAACAGAAAACTTAGAAAAAAATAATCCATGATCTTCCTACTTACCTACCTATATTGATCAGATTATTGACACAGGGACACAGAGGAGGCATTTGGATAGGGCTACATTCTCCATACGCATTTCAGACATACTAAATAAATAATAAATCCATTACCAACAACTCAGCAGGATGATCTTTCACCCTTTTGCTCTATTCCCCAGGAAGCTATTGTAGTTCCAGTTACAGTCATGCTTTTCTAATTTTTGAAAAGGTTAACACAGTTTTATCTTTAATAGCTGCTTGATCATTGCAGAAGCTAACAAGTCATGTTGGAAACATTAGTCAGGGAGACAGGGGAATATATCTGGATGTCTTGCACAATTATAAAGAGAGTTATTCTCCTGCTTTTATCACTGCATTAACATGGCTGGTATAGAAATGACATATTTATTAAGAAAGAGTACAAGAGGTTTAAGAAGCTTTGGGTGCCTGCCAGCTGCAAAGTTTTTGCCTCTTCCGTCTCATCATCTGCCCCAGTCATCTTGTGAAAACTATTGGACTGTTGTTGATTCTTTTGTGTTTAAAGATCCTAGGTTGGCACTTTCATTAAAGATTGTCACCAACTTCACTGATACAGTGATTTGATTTACTGGCATAGCGCTGTTGAACAGATAAAAAAACAAGGGTTTTGTGTTTCTGCTTTTGTTGCTTTTAAAATAACCATATACGTTTATGTGAAAATTCTCTTTGAGAAATGAATTGTAGTTCAGTGCTTTTTTTCATTTTAAAAACTCAGTTTTTGCCTTGTCTTCTCTCTGATCATAGCCAGCAGAACACTGTACTCAGTAAGAAAAAGCAAAACCTCTCAAGTCCTTCTGGTTTGGGTTTCATCTTCTCTTGATATCCAGGCCAATCATTTCAGATACAATGGCTTGGAAAATCAGAACCTGTCACTTCTTCCCTGCTTCCCTAGCTCAGCACTCAAGTGCTCCAGCATTACTCAGCAGCTATGCAAGCCCAGTTTTGCTCTGTTCTCACCTCCCTCCTAGTGTAGAGAACAGATACTGAGGTGGAGGCAACACTTGTGTTCATCTGTGTGTGTGCTGCCTCCCAAGAGTGGCTGATTGCTGCCACATACAGAGACATTGCTTATGCATTACAGCTGAAAAACCTCACTAAAATACAACCCAGCAGGAAACGTCAGTGAAGTCATTGTGGCTTACATCTTGCATATTTTAGTGGTCACGTACATCTAGGAGAAGCTTTTCCTGCTTTGTATAACAGTTAGGAAACCAATGAAATAAAACTGTGAAAGCGGATTGCATTTCTAATATTTGTATGTCGAACTCCTTGAGAGAGCAGAGAGGCTTGAAATGGCCTGAGCAGGAATCAAAATAAATATGAGAGGGAGAAAAAACCTGGGGTAGCTGGAGACACTTTGAGAAGCACCGCTGACAGTGCTCTTTCTGCTGCCCTCAGCCCGACTAGAAATGATGCATTTTGCTCTCCATGGTTTCCATGTCATACTCAGTATTTCTTCACACCTAAGACTGTTTTAGCTTTTCACTACTGGTATTTTGGTAACAGTATTTGTAACTTGTTTCATATTAAATTGCTATCAGATTGCATTTAAGGCATTTTAGTGTTACTTAGTGTTACTACTGAATAATGTTAGTCACTGTAATTACCTAAAGATTCTATATTAATTTTAAATGGGGAAAAGAAAGTCTAATTAAGTTATATGATTAATCACGTCTAATTGTTGAAAAAGCTTGTGAATTGCTACTATGCAGCTATTGTGTGTTCTTTGATATCTTGTGTTTAACAACAATAACCCAAATATTAAAAGCGGAAGCTTAAGAGAAGTTAAATGCTCCCCATCAAGAACTGATGACCTGAGATTGTCCAAAAGCTTAAAAAGCTTAAAATTCTATCTGAAAGCCCAGACTAAGTGTATTATAATGCAGATATTGCAATCACATTTTGATTTTAACTATGACATCAGAAAAAAAAAAAAAAATGGAATTAGAAAAATCTATAGAAGAGGTAGGAGAGTAATTCTTTCATTTGGACAACTTCAGGAGAGGTTTCTGAGCTGAGCTCAGGTAGTGCACTGTGTCTGATGCCTGAGGCCCTTTTTTGTGTGGCCACCTCCCAATATCCAGAGTGAGATCCTTGAGTCTCCCTGAAAGCCTACAGCAGGGAGGAGTGCTGAGACATTGGAAGCATCTCTAAGATGGTACAAAAAGTGTCTTTCTCTATACCTGTCATATCAATGCCACTAGCTGGGAAGGAAATGCCTTCGACTGAGACATTTGTAAAGAAATCCGTAATGATTCTGGGCCGTATTTGCAGCAAAACTAGTGGCAGCACTGCAGTCTAGATGTCAGAAGAGTAAGTTATTTTTTTATGCTGTAAAGGAGCTCAATAAATTAATTTTTGAGCTCCAAATGAATTTTATGGGAGATAGAACATTTCTAGCTAAAGTACACTCTTCATTCTGTTTATTTAGACTGTTTTCACTCAAGTACTATGGAACACTGAATTACACTGCAGCTTAATGTAAATACTGGTCTGATGTCTCATTTTATTCAAGAGTATCATATTGAAAATGATTATGCCAACATGAAGAGACCTAGAAAAAACTCTAAATAATTGTAGAAGTATCTTCCATTTCAACCTCCTGTTGAGTAAGGGTAAATGAGGATACTATGATGGAAATACTGAGACATACTCAGTATACCTGAGACATAACAGGCAAAAAGCTATGTGATGACTTGTTTTTTAATTATGGGAACTAACAGAGTTGCAGCAAGTACTGCTTTGAATCCCATTTACTTTTGGCATAGCCTTGTCAGAATAAGCTCAGCCAGCACCGAGTGCCTTCCATCTGTTTCTGCAAGGAGACTGTGATTTCTAGCTATTCTGTTTCTATTCTCTCTGCAAAGTTTTACCCAGCACTATAACAGTTAAGGAACTTCAAATCACACAGACTTCATGTACCTCTTTTATGCTTTCTAACCTTGATAACAATGACGTGTCCTTGCAAAAATAATACGTAGGAAATTAATTGTATCAATGACCTTTAAGTACAATGTCCGTAACATTTGTGGTACCGTGGTCCACAGTTCTGTGATCGTCAGTGAAGAATCAATAAAAGTCTGACAAACAATTGCATCAGTAAAACAAAACCTGGCTCCAGAAGGAGGGAAATGGAACAATGCTGACTGGAGCCACATCTATAAACGGTGACAACTTTTGGCTCTGCTCCACCACCTAAATCCACCTACCTATCCACTGAGTTTAACCCCAGTGTGACAAGACATGAAGCCCAGCTCACACAATCAAAAAGACCAGCTAGGGTAACTTTAGTTGATCTGGGAAACTCTAGCAGAGAGAAAAACCAGCCTTAAGCATCTCACAGCCTGGGAAGCACATCTCAAAAACTATCTGCAGATACCCAGACTGTCATTAAAAGGGCTCCTTCAACCTGTCAAGCTTTAGAAAACAAGAGATAGGAACAAACTTCCAACAGATGTAGCTGTCATTTAAGATTAAAGCAAAAAGCTGGCAGTACAGAACCTTACGATGTGTGCAATCACACACTTGCTTCTACCAAAGGAAATGTTGCAGTACTTCCTAAAATATTTCAGTTAAAAATAAAAGAACAAAGTGTACCAACAATAAATAAATCAAAACACTGAGTAGAAGAACTCTACTGTATGTCCACGCACATACCTTGTAAGCACCTCAAAGCCCTGTCCTGAAGGTCTGATAATCCCTCAGACAAATCATTTACTTTGTTTTAGAAGGCAAGTTGAAACAAGAAGGCATAAATTCTCATGTTGACAAAAGGAAAACATCGTTACTGTAAAGCTGAGAGGAGAATGGAAGAAGTGGGTTTGCAAAAACCATAACATTGAGCAGTGCTGGGCTAGGGAGGAACAGAGCTTAGCCCAAAACCAAATGCTTAGAAAAGAAGAAAAGAGAGGTGCTCTAGACAGATAGCCCCCTTTCAGACCAAGTAGCCACCCTGCCTAACACCAGTTTGTAATGCTTTGAAAAACAAGTCTCTTGCTAACCTAGAAATAAATAATCCCAGTATTAATCTGCACTATGTCCAAACACCATACATGTCCTCTTAGCCAAACTCATATCCAAAGTCCACTAATCCAAGTAGAATCAGGCAGTTGAAAGAGAGAAAAAAAATCTTCCTGGAAACATAACTCTTGCATATTACTCTTCACTAATACAGACAAAAACCTGTAGATTTCTGGTTACATTAAGATTTTGTCAATAATCTCTTTCCTTTTCCACCTATAAGATTTCAAAACATTCTTTTGTGATGCTTTACCTAATGCCTTAACACTCACATACAAAGGAATGTAATGCTGAAATTACTGCTTCTTCCATACACATTACATTTCTTCCCAAGTGAGCAAAATCCTAATTTTTAAGAGCCTACCCAATTATTTCCATTTTAAAAATCATCTTGCCTAATCACTGACAAGCTGCATAGCACAAGAAATCAGCTGAGTGCATATTTTATAAAAGTACTGTATAATCAAACCATTTAAGCGAGCATTTTATATGTCTCAGGACAAAACAAACCTTCGTCAATAAAATTACAAAGCATATCACTATCTACAACAGATGCTTTATTGAATTCTTTAAATGTATTACTCTATTACCATCAGTTCATGTCACTGTTACACTTCAGGTGAAACCTTCTTCAATGAACATTAGATAAAGGATGGACCTATTGCAGCAATAGATTTACTGCTATGGATTTAAGAGGTCCCCACTGTATTCACATTACTTTATTACCATTTAGCACATTCTAATTAAAAATAAAAAGACTTCTTCCCTTTGCCTTCTTCCCCTGTGCATTTCAAAGTGATTTAATTCTAGAGAGAAAGAGCAAATGGCAGATCAAAAGAAAATGTTAGACTATAAATTACCTGCTTCTCTGGACATATGGACTATTCATTAAGAACGAGGTTGAATGCTGGTTTCATTCCTTGCCTGTCAGATATGCTAATTCACCCAAGTCATTTGACATATCCTGTAATATTCCCATGCTGTGATTTAGGGAATTACTTCTTAAATGGAAGAACCAGTTCCCAGAGAATCTCTGGTCACATCAGTGGAGAATAGTGGTTATTGCTAGGATGTGATCCCCCTGCTTTTAACTTCTAGGAAGGAGAAAATTGGTCTTGCACAGTCCTTTCCTGCCCACTATAGTGTAGAAATGGCTGTGCCAACCTGGTTTTCCAGCACGGCCCCTCAGATCTCCCAGCACAGGCACGGGCTGTACAAAGTATAAAGCAGAATTGGGTCAGATATACTAAAGGGAAGGCTGCTTACTATGGGGAAAGGCTCATTGCCATTAAAAATCTAAAGTTATTAGTTTTCTTAGCATTAGATCCCATCCCCAGAAGCAATCTCAGTGGGGAAGATAGCAAAAACATTGTTAGAAATTGTAATAAGACTTCAAGAAGCTGGCGTTTAGAGTCATAGAATCATCAAAGTTGGAAAAATAGTAAAAGATTAATTAGTCCAACTAACAACCCATCAACCTGTCCTTTTTCTAGGAAAGACTCAGATCTGTCCCCATGAAAGTGGAACCAGTTGGGCTCCATCATCTCTGGCAGCATCGTGAAGTATAAAGACAGCCTTTGTCCAGCAGTACTTGTGCTTTGTACTCGTAAAAAAGAGAAATTACATTCAAATGGAAAGGGAACTGTAGAAAGAAGCTACTCTGCTGCCATCTTCTAAATGGGTTAATGATAGCGGGCAGCTGATGCCTCTTCTGTATATTGGGAACAGCTGGCCATTAGAACCAGGTGAAGAATTTTGTTTGATATACACAGCCACAAAATGCCTACTTGGTCTGAAATAACATCTTAAATTATTTAATTACCTCCCCCCCCCCCCCCTTAATTTGTCATATTTATGTAAAAATCTACAGTATGGTAGAATTGTCATTATTCACTTCCAAAGGCCTTGAATACTTATTGCTAGATTTTCTTTAATGTTGATGACTCTTAATATTCATAAAAATAAGAAGCCAATTTGCAATGGATATACTAGGAAAATCCTGCCAAAATCAGCTTAGCCTTCTCAGTAGAGCTGAGTGAATGTAATTTAGCATTCTCCAGCAATCCTTAGCACTTCCCAGGCTTCTTTTCATCAGAGACTTGCCAAAGAATTTTAAACTGCTTGCTTTTTTTCTGACTTAGACAAGAGTCCTGTAGGAAATTAGATTAATACCAGTTCACAATGGAAAACCTTTGCCACCCTATTTCATTATTACTACTCAGATCATCATTCACATCATGAATAAAGATGTGGGGTATTGCTCCTGGAAATGTATTATGCTGCTGTGTGTTTAAAGCTACCTTAGCCTCGCTAGGTGATGTTGAAGGAGCTTTATGTATCACCAAACTGTGTGGATGAAGTGAACTTCCAAAAAGCAAATGTTCTCTATTGAAGATTCAGGATGGTGATAGTTCTCTAACTGGGAACATGGATTGTGTCCAACAGACTCCCTGGGTATGATGGCATGGTGCTCACAAAACAATCTTGCTCCACACCCTCTCTTCAGCTATGCCAGCAGTGAAAAGCTAGGACACTAAAGAGGGGATAAGGGAAGTTGTCTTGACCCAGGAATTTTTTTCTTTATGGTCTTTTATAGCATACCAGCACAGAGGTTCATTTTTTTCCTGGCCACTAAATAGGTACACATCAAGGAAAATGAAGTTTAATCATAGGTTTTGTTGGGTAGGTTACCAAGAAGAGGAGCATAAAGTTAAAATTTATCGTGGAAGGGGAAGTTTGTACACAGTAAGTTTACCAAAAGAAAATTCAGTTCTGTGGCAGAAGAAATTTTCTGCACGTGTAAAACCACTTCAGTCCCTGGGATACAATGAAGAATAGATTATCCAATGTTAACACGCAGATGCATGTCACAGAATGGGTTTTAAATACTAAGGAGGAACTTGATTATAGACATTTTTGTTTCCACTGTCATTCTGTGCAAAGTACTATTGATTAATCATGTTGTGGTAGGAGTCACCAGACAATTCTGTTTAAACTTGGTTGTTTTTTGTTTCTTTTTTTCCTGAGGGAAGGAAAAGCAGAGATTTTGTCTAGAAAATACTGTGTTATTCTTTGTTCTCCTAAAGAGCAGTCCTTCGAGAGAAATTGTCAGATAGCTGAGAACATGTTCTTTCATTTTATTCTCCATCTTTCAAGGCAGTTCCCAAGACAGAATAGCTTCCTGGGAACTGAACTGTGGTACATGGGTTAAAGTTTATAGAAGGATCATAGATTGCCTGCTTATGACTTTATTATGAGATTGATGTGCATATGTACAAAGTAAGTTAAACTCTGACCACAGCAAGACTCTACTTCATTGATCTTTATTCCCTGAGAGCCACTCGTGGAGTCTCTGAGGGCAATTCCATCCCTGAAATATACATAGCATACCAGAGTGTATCACTAGCCAATTAGTGAGAGCATAATTTGGAACAAAAATATCCTCTTCCAAAGATTCTAGTTACTCACGCTGATTGTGATTGCCCTTTCTTTTTCAAGAAGGAAATTGTGCAGTGGTTTTACATAGATTTATTTGTACATAATTGATATTGCGCCTCATTGGCAGTGGGTATTGAAAATTTACAGTGGTTGGAAAGATGAGGGGAGGAGTTGGCAGTTCACACTTCAGTAGACAGAGGTGCTAATCTTAAAATTCAAGCTATATTCCCATAAATATGAAATATGAGGAGGACGAAGTGATTTGAATTTATGAATAGGGAATAATGTTCTTCTGCTCTAAAACTCTCTTACCATTTGCTATAGCTAGTGATGGAACGGTTTGTTGAATTTTCTTTGAAACTAAAATACAGTTTTAACCAAATCTGAACTTTTTAAACATCAGTCGGATGGCAAGCAATAAAATGTAATTGTCAATTATCAAAATATACCCATATAGCCATTACGCATCAGTGAAACTGCAGATGTTTTGAAAGCTATCTAAATGCTTCTAAATTTATCCCAATTAAAATAATATACCAATGTAAAAAAAAAAAAAAAAAAAATATTCAGTCCTTTAAGGATTCTGAGGGGGGAAAAAATGAAACCAGTATCTAGCAGTCTGTGCTCCATATAAATAAAGCACTAAAGATTCTGAGACAAGAGACCTTAATTGAAGTCCATTAAAATCAATAGAGGAATAAAAACCAGACAGAAATAGAGCAGGAAAGATAACATACCAAGGGAGTTTCAAAGTACTGAGCATACCAAGGGAGTTTCAAAATATCGAGTGCCCACCTGTGATTTCCACTGAATTAGCAGGAGTTATTGATGATCAAGATCTTTCTCAGAAATCTGTCTGCTCCTGGGTTTTGGCATGAAGTCCTCCTCTAAGGACATTATTTCCATGACATCACTCAGCCTATGATTTCACCGCTGGTCCTCCATTTTTCTTCTGTAGAAGGTATAGAATATAAATATGTTATAATGCTGAATTGCACTCTTGTTCTACAGTGCAAAATTCTTCTATCTGCTATTTGTTTCATCTGAAAGGGTAGGGAAAAGTATTTATGTCTGTCCTTGTACCTTGACAGCCTCCAATATCTCTAAAAATATAGCTGTTGTTCAAAAAATACTTGTTTCCACCCCTGTCCTCCCATTCCCTTTGGCTATATTGTTCCTGAGGAGCCTCGCTGAAGAACAGGGATCTGTTACTGCAGTGCTTGCCATCATGTTCTGAATCCATGAACTGGGCTTCTGTATCAACACGTTTTACCTTTGTTTGTGTTTACTCTCTGCTTTTTAAGCTTCCAGTGTAAAGATTTTCTTCCCAGCTATGAAGAATTCTCTCTTCTTTTTTTTTTTTTTCCCATCCAGGGAAATCCATTTTTAAATAATGCGATTCAAAGAGCTGAAGTTTTAAGAAAAAAAATTAAGCAATGTGAGATCTATAACATAATTAAGTGAGATTTTATCAGTATACCTCCGAGGAAATCTTCCCTTGTTTTCCTCTGCTCTCTATTAAAATAATACAAGGCAGAAGTCTACAGCATCCCCGTGTATTCATCACCAGAATTTACAGTGCTCTGGTACCCAACTGACCCATTAGTGATTATCACTACAGCCATATAGTGCTTATTTCAGGAAGAGAATCATATTTGATTATGAACCATAGAATACATATAATTTTAATATGCTATACTGGTCAGATTATCCAGTCCTTCCTTTCACAGTATAAGTAGCCTCATTTATTTCAGTAGGGCAAAAATTAAGCTAAGAGAAAATAAAAGGGAAAAGGGGTCAATTTAGTAGTTGGGAGGCTGCATAGCCTGCACCACGCTTTTCTGCTTCATTCAAGGCAAACTGCTGTGCTAATTTTAATTCTGCTTGATCAATGCAAAATGTGGGCCAAATGCTGCACTCCTTCCTCATACCAGCAGTCCCACTGAGTCCTAGGGTTTATAGCAGTTTCTGTACTCCATCGGCCGGATGCCATGAAATGAAATAGGATAGTCCATTAATTTATTTTATTGCAGAACTGGCTAACTGATGAGTGTGCCAATTGATGCACAGAACAGAGGAGCTGGGGTGTTAGAAATGCACCTGACACTGAATCTTAGCAAAACAGCTCCATTAAAAAATGAGCATTAATCAATAAATAGCCAAATGTATTTTTTTAGAGGAATATATTCTAATAAGAAATCAGCTACTAAAAAAGGCTGTCATAAGTATCATAGAAAAGACTGGAAGTTTTCCCATTTTGGGTAGGATTTTTGGCTAATAAACAAAAGAATCATGATGATTTGGCAGCCACACTTAAAAGAAATTTTAGGTACATCGAGCAAAGTTATGATGTGCTACTGTGACTATGAGTGCATTCCTGGCTCAGAATCTTCTTTCCTTTCATTTGATAGACTAATTAATTCCCATTTATGTTTAAGTAAACGATTATTTGCAGCACTCACTGGCTGAGTTCTTATTGGATAAACATAAACAGAATTTACAGATAACTCTAAACTCAAGTCCTTGGACTGCTGAGAGGACTGTCTTGAGATTTCAGCCTTCAATTCCCAACTTCTTAAAAAGACCACGGTAAGTAATGATGCTCAGTATATCAGCCTGATACTGCTTCTGCACATTAGTGCAGGTTAGATGGTGTCCATAACTCTTGAAGTGCTGAAACCCACAGTAAAAACAAATACCGTCATGAGGCTTTTCTCCCTCAATAAAAACGTTTCCTTAAGTGAAGACGTATAAGCCTATATCAAAAGAACTGGTCCAACTAAATAGGCATTTGCTGAACTCACTTTGGGGAGCAAAAAAAGAGTAGAGAGGAGCAGGCAAGAATGGGTTATGGTGGCCTGAGCTGCTCCTCTGGCTTTCTTTCCTCTGCTAGCTGACAGAGCATGAGCCCAATGGTGGGCAAAGTTTGATATAATGGTTTGGAAACTTGTACCTGTATATTACCCCAATTAACTAACCTGACATTTCCAAAATATCAATAGGGGTGATGTTTACTTTAATACTTAAAATCTAAGCATTTACAAGTAATCTTTAGGCAAGGGCATAAAATTAATACTGATGGAATAAAAATCATCATTACTCATCTATTGTATATACTAATCGTGCACAGTCCTTCTTTGGCCAGATTTAAACAAAATGAATGTGGTCTGGAATGATGGGCCCTTTGCTGGTGCAAAAGAATTGTTGAAAGAAAAAGAAAAAAGACAAATAGGTGTTAAAAAAAAAAAGAAAAAAGAAACAAAATCACATTTTCACTCAGAAATAGAATTAAAAAAATAAAAGGGAAAACAGGTTCTGAAAGAACAAGTGTTCTTAACAGATATACAGACATTTTTAGAGAAAAATCCAGACTACAGGGACATTAAAATAAAAATGGAGCAATTTAATGAAGAGAACAAAACATTTCAAGAGCACTGAAGTACATGTTTTACATAATGAAGAATTCAAAGAAAAAGGAGGAAAAGAATGAATTTTAAATACTGTTTTCGGTAGTAACTATCTTAAAGTCTCTAATCAGAAAAAGGAAGCCTTTATAAAAGAGCAGAGCAATTACGGCTATCAAATGCTATATGTGAGTTCTATTCTCTATCTCTCTTTCTTTCTTTCTCTGTTTCTTCATCTTTTTAGTACTTCCTTTCTTTTTCTATACTTTCTTTCATGTTCTCTCTCCCTGTGTTTCTTCTGACACGCACATGCTATCTCTTTTTCACAACTTTTTCAGAGCTTGTTCTTTTTGTCTTTTGACTTCATATAAAACATCAAAAAATAATTAAAGGCAATGTTGGCATACTGAAAACATGTTTAAAGCAGTCCTCCTGTTGATTTCTTAGTTTGTAATACAGACACTTTCTAAAATTGCATTTGAGGTTCGATCGTGAATAATTACATTTAGCGTCTGATTAGGTAGCATGACCCTGATGAAAAAATGCATCTCATTACCTGCTAAACTACATTTGGTAGACTCAAATATGTCTTGCAGAAGGCTTGCATGCTAAAGTGCCTTAACCTCAAGGCAAAATAGGAAAATAAGTAGTTGAAAATTCATTATTTTTAGCTGGGCTATGTTTGCTGGTACTACTGACTCTGAAATGAAGCCAACACTTGTATCACCCTTTACAGCCATGGCATTAAATGGAAGATGTCTAATAACACAAATAAGACCACATTCAACATCTTGCCCGCTGTGACCAAAACCAATCATTTCAAGATCACACACAGATTGTATGGCCCCACAGAAAAAAACTCTGGATAACTTTCAATCTTTTTTTTTAAGGTTATAGCCTATCCCTCTTGCAGTTCCTTCCTTCCTCCTTTCCACATGACATATCTTCTTCTTTCTCTGATATATATTTCTCCTGCATGATATATCACAACTGGGAATTAAATTGCTTATATAAAAGAGAAAAAAAAAAGCCAATTAGGCAGAAAAGATCAGTTTATGTTAACCTTAAAACCAATCAAAATGCTGTAATGAAAAAATCACAAGGAACTTTTAAAACTCTATCACTGCCCTATATTATTAAGTAAAGTGATGTAGACAGAAAAAAAAAATGTTGTTGTGTAGTTTACAATGCAAAGAAATGCAGAAAGGTAAGATATGCATGTGCCTATTTTCAGGCTTTTTGGCATAACACATCTTTGGAGACATTTTTGAATGTCACAACACTCCTAAGATTTTCCATACTCAGAACTTTGCAGCATCCCTGTCTGAAAGATTTTTTTTCTCATTTCAAGCCCCTGCTGTTATTGGGGCAAATGAACTTCTTGATTCAGTAGCTCATAACAGCGTCACTGTTTTCATTAACATTATAAATATCTGTGAAGCAATATGAAGCCTCCAAAATGATTAATGCCCATTGGCATAATTTCCTTTTCAAGTGAAACCTTAAAAACATTTTCAAAGGGTTGTCTGCTGTCATGTCTGTAGTGCCTAAGTCTTCTGATATGTTCACTTTCACGGCGATACATATTATAGAGGAAATTAAAGGTTTTAGACTAAGCATGAAGACTGTTAGACTGCAAATAATAAACCAAGATGTGAATGCATAAGCAAATTAAAATACTGGAATTTTTAAGCTTATCTACAAGTGTTTCTTTCATACTGCTTCTAGTATTTCAAGATTTAACCAGAAGGAAAATAAATTATTTCTCATTAAAAAAAAAAATAAAATTCTTGCAAAATTAATTTAAAATAGATCCCAAATGCTTGTTTCTCAGCAAAAGTCTGGGTATAATAAATCTGTCGGTATTTTCCTCCACTGGAAGAAGACAAAAATTATGCTGCTTTAGCATTTTCTCAGCCTCTTTTTCCAGTTCATTTGCAGCATCTAAAATCCTCCCAACAGAATTCCTATGAAAAAAAAAAAGGAAAAAGAAAAAACTTAGAAAATGCTTTCTTCCAGATTCTGTGGACAGTACTTCAAGTAAGACTTCTATATTTCACCTGGGAATAGTTTTTGGTCAGTTATCAATACCAACGATTTTATTCATTTAGAAAACTCATGATTGGTTTTGACACGTAATTGCAAAGGATGCTTCCAATTGTGTGGCTCCCAGGCTCTGTACTCTGAATCCCAACCCAAAACATTAAATCTCTACTTTTCCAGTGGGTCAGATGCCATAGTCTTTTGCTAAGGAGATCAATTTCCTCGATGTCAGTAAATGAACGAATGAAGACACTGCTGTGTCAAAAATCATTGCTGGATACTGGTAGTTCACATTAACAAAAAGAGAGAAGCCAGCTGGTGATTCCTACAGTTAGCCTTCACACAGATACACATGGTCCTGAGCAAAAGAAAATGCCACATAGAGCAAAGCCATAAAGGCAATATCAGAAAGATAAATGTTCCTGGTGGAAAATGATCTTTCACCTCCAGGTCACTGGTTTAAATCCATTCAAAAACTATAAGAATAAGGGAGGTTAGAGGATTAAAGTTACTGGGAGTTTAAGGCTTTAAAACAAAATGGAGCTAATATGTTTACAGTATCCTCTTTTGAATGATAGATATGACCATATTTTCACAGGAAAGAAGGGACATAAAATATGATTGGAAAAATTAACAGTTAATAATGATAACAAAGATAACAAATGATAGTAATAGATGAAGGTAAGAAGAGGATACATATTCCAGGAGATAATCTGAAAAGAAAATACAGGTCAGCAGTAAATGTAAATCAAATAACATTTATGACATAAAAATACTACACAAGCAAGGTCACCAAGCTAAGCACATCAATCTCACTTGAGTTCACACTTGCCAAAATGTTCAAACTATATTGCCACATAGATTGGAATAGAGATGACAGTGAAAGATCTTCTTAAGAAATATTAACATTTTTGAGATATACCACTGAGCATACACATGAAAGAAACCTTTACAACGTACCCACACGTAATGCTTTCTCTACCGAAAATCTTATATTAAAACACTAAGCTTTCTCAGACTCGTTCTCTTCTAATCAGCACTTACTCTATCCACAACGTTTAAAATATCCTTCAGTGAAGAGTTGGTTACAGTACATTTTCCACATTGATATGATTTTCTGTTAGTAAAATTATTCTATGCCAGGCCTGTGTAACCTGGGTAAAGTGAATAATGCAAATGCATTTCTGAAGGTCATGCATTCAGTAGTAAATGTAGGTAATACAGGAACCAGTGTGTAACAATACTTCTGAAGCTCTTCCCGATGCTAAATAACACAGGTTCCCCACATACAATAATCTAAATCACCATTCACTGTTTTGAGGAATTATTCATTTATACCTGCTTGTTCAATTAGCATGATGTTTTACTGTTGAATCTTGAGTTTCTGATGCATGGCTTACTGGATAGACAACAAAACTCAGCATGACAATTAGCACACAAGTATAAGCAGCCGAATCATGCTTTCTGGACAACACAGTGAGTGGTATGCCCTGATGGATGTATTCTCTAGTTTACTTGCAAAAACAACTGTGCCATTTCCTCATGCTGAGTTTCAGTTAGAATTCAAGAGCAAAAGTGAAGAAGTAATTGACAAGATTCCTTCAGCACAGAAAGTTAATTTAATTTAGTACTAGACTGGCTTTTCAGAAAAAAAGCACCACAACATCTGAAATGGCATGTTTTCTTCTGTGACTTAAATTTTTTTCACCAATCCTTATATTACCACCTTATTCTTAATGGTTCAGTTACCAAATGAGAAAAAGGAAAATACCCTCCAACCGCTTTGTAATATTCAAAAATAATTAATAACCTAAATATATATATATATATATTTGAAAGAATCGTTCAGCAATAATGGAAACAATGGATTTTTTAATTAGTATTCACCACAGAGGGAATTTTGGCATTTGCTGAGCTTGTCAGACGCCTTGATAACATTTCCCAGTTTTGCTGGTACTTTGTTACATTTTTTTCTTGGGCCTCACTGCTTTATTTCAGAAATCTTTATGTTGACAAAAATATCCACAGCAAAGTGATTTCTCATCTCTCTTCCAGATGTGTTCTAGCTGCCAGTGTCACTGTGCGCACTTCAAGAACATTGCTCACTGCTGTTCTCATCTCAATGTGTCAGATCAGGAAGCGACAGAGAAACATTGATCCAATAAATTATGCTTTGGGTACTGGCTCTGTGCTTATATTTGCTTATCACTCACCAGAGGGACTGGCTTCTTCAGGTGCAAGCCAGATTTTTGAAGGAATCACCACTGTCTTTCAAAGAGATAGGCCTCAGAAACTGACCACGTAACCCAAAATACTGCTTCGAGGGAATGGACAAACTGCTGAGGAAGGAGCCAACAGTCAACCAGCAGAAGATCAGCAGTTCTAGATTTTATCTAGATTTATTTGAATAGTCTGTACAAAAGCACAGAAAAAATGTAGGGTGGAAAATGGACCAAAAATGGAGAATTATGTGTTTGTGATTCCATATGAATAATAAAAACTAAAGTGGGATGGAAAAAAAGGGGACTAGAAAGATTTGGTAAACTTCATATGAAAAAATGAAGCAGGGATGAAATGAGTCAGGAAATAGCACTATGTGAGAAGTTGTAGTGAATTTATCTCTAAGACAGTGCAATGTTGGAAAAGTAGGAAATAAAGTTTCTGGATACTGACAAAAAAAAAGCATTGTAAATGCTAGGCATATCTCTGGAAATTACTGAGTGACAAGACCTTAATGAATTTTCAAAGTCTCCAAGAGAGAAAAGTGCAGAGCTGAAACAGGAGCAGCTCACACATTCTTTCCAAAGGAAACTCAGAGAACTTTCTTTCTGTCTTGCATTAGGGTGCAGCAGAGATACAAATCAGCTCTCAGACCACCTGATATTAAATAAAACAGTGACTTTAAAATTATTATTTTCAAGCACAAGAGCCCTAAATTTCTAACCAGGTGATTTTAATGGGAAATGTACTGGACTAATTCCAGGCATTACATGAAAAATATGTTCCTACATTTCTTCATTAAAATTATGAAAATGTTGCCATTTGGCTAAACCTAAGAAACTTATCCCTAAATAATCCTATTATTCTTTTTCATGATGGTGCACTAGCTTAAAGCATGCATTGAACCCAAGGCAAATCAATACTTGATTTAAAAAGGAACAGTGGTGTGTCTTACAATGCACTAAAGGGGTCAGAATCTCTACATGTATTTTTACAGTAGCCATGCATTTCAGTAACAAAATTTCTACTGTCTACTAAAAAAGTGTCACAGAAAAAATATTAGATTGACATTTACCACAGGCACTAAACTGAGCCTGATTGAGGTTATACTAGCAGTAGGTCAGGGAATCACAGAATTGTAGGTGTTGGAAGGAACTTCTGTAGATCGAGTCTAACTCTCTGCTAGAGAAGGTTCCCTATATTAGGTTACATAGAAAAGTATCCAGGAATGTGTTGTATATTTCCTGAGAAGGAGACTCCAGCACCACTCCGGGCAGCCTGTTCCAGTGTTCTGTAACCCTCAAAGTAAACAAGTTTTTCATCATGTTGATATGGAACTTCCAGTGTTCCACCTTGTGTCCATTGCCTCATATCCTATTACTGGGCACCATTGAAAAAAGCATGCTCCCATCCACTTGGCTCCCACCTATTAGATCTTTATAAGCATTGATATGATTCCTCCTCATTTTTCTCCAGGTTGAACAGCCCCACATCTCTCAGCATTTCCTCATATGGAGATGCACCAGGTACCTGGCGTCTCCATAGCTCTCCACTCTCTCTCTATTGGACTCTCTCCAATAGTTCCCTATTCTTCTTGAACTGAAGAGACCAGGTTTGTAAACCCAGGTGAGTCTCATTTATGCCATTTTAAATACCAGAATAAACAACCGACCACTTAATTTGGCCTGTTTGTTTCACATCTTACATGATCTAAGAAGTGATAAGTTTTCCCTTCCAAGCATTCCATCACCAAAACTGTCCGTTGCAGAGTCTGATCTAATCCTCCCAGGAGTTAATTTCCACTCAGTTCAGCAAAATGATCGAGACATTACATATTTTCATCTTTCATTTATAATACAAGCTTTTGGAATGGATTCCTCAGGATACAGTGAAATTTTCGGCTTTATATTTTTGTGGCTTGTCCTAACTTTAGAGAAATATCATTCAAATATCACAGGATGTAATTTTACTGTTCTGCTTTCTTTTCCTTTTAATAGTAAGTGTGAACATTAAATTGTTGCATTATTAAAATACTATTAAATAAATGTTAGCCATCTAGATGATTTCCAGACTGAATAACCCCTTGAAGTCTTTGATGCTATTGACAAAGTCAACCAGTACTTTGGAATTCTTGAAATAAGATTCCATTTTTCTTTCTTGTTTCTTCCTTACATATTTTCTGCTCTCAGACTCACTCTGTGGCCTTTTCAGTGAGCACTCTCCTTTCTGGACATACCTGCTGCTCTGTTTCGCCCATGGAAACTGGAATCCCAAACAGATAGAAGAAACAGAGCCACATTTTTGCCTGCTCCAAGACCAGGCCATCCAGCCCCAATCGTCTTCTGCACTTGCTTTATCTTGCAGATAACTGTTTGTGTCAAATGAGTTTTTTAAGTAGTTTAGTTTTTCTTCTCTTTTTCAGCTATTTTTAAAGGTGGGAAGATTGATTACATTCTCCCCTTTTCTTTTTAGCTGCCATTTGTCACTGTTGTGAAAAACATCAAAACAAAGGCTACTTCTATTAAATGGGAAACACTATAATTCCCATGCAATCTGTCCTTGTATAAGAAAAAGAAGAAACAGACTTCTCTCCATGACTAGGTTTGATTTCCCCACATAAAATCACACCTCAACACATTGCACCCACACATCGTTTTGCACACGCTGCAAAGTTAGTAAAGTGGCAGAGACTGCAAGTAAATATTTTAGAAACAATTGCATTTGTCTTGTGAATGGCACTCTCTGATTAGCTTTTTTATAATCAATCACACTGATATTTGATTCACAAAACCTCAATTATGTCTCCGTAAAAGCAATTAGATGGAGACCTTAAAAGAGCAGATTAAAAGGTTTGAATACTTGGAGAGAGTAATTTAAAAATATTAAAAGGAAATTACTTTTTAATTTTATGTATTCATCTATTTGTAAGTTAATGAAATTAATGAGGCAAGAAATGAAATGGAAACTCCACAACTTTGCATCACTGTAGTTAGTTTGCTTGCCAGGAGCTATGCCAGAAAAGCCATATTTACAACCAGTTTACAGCTAGAAGTAATAAATAGTCTAATTGTAAGAGCATTTCTATTACATATTTTGCCTCTTTTCTCTCATATAATCTACAAAGGTACTAAATATCTTCCTGAAAGAGCCTCTGCTGACCAGTATGAGACTGAAGCCCTACTGTAAAAGTATATAAAATTATCCCAGTAAAATTTCTCGTCTTTTTTTCCCTTCTGCAAACAATATCTGTTCAGCTTTCTGTGTCAGCATAGTTTTGAAACAAATCATTTGAGAAACTGAAAGCTGTGACATAAGGACTGCGGAAAATAGCAGTTTTCGGGAGATACGTGTACTAGAAGCGTTCTCTTCCTACTGTTACAGATGGAGAAAAATTTGCTTGCAATTTTTAGTTTTAACTTGGAAAAAGCAGTACAATCAAAATAAACATAAGAAGTGGGCTGAAACTTAACCTGCAGTTCCTTTGCTATCATTGAATGCCTGCCAATTTTGATCAAGTACCTGAGCTACAGACGGAGTGAATTCCAGTGACTGGACCACATATTCTCATGATACAGCTGGGCAGCATCACCTGCTAATAGCATCTTCCTCAGTATTTTCAGGAAAGTTCTCGGTAGGCTTTCATCCTCTGCCATTAAAATAAACAGTAATTTACCACCCCAGCTCTAGGACATACAAATACATATGAAGAATTAATACTTGGAGTGTTGAAGACACAGAGTGGGATAGTGTGGCAGCTGGATTTAGAGGAATGTGTCTCTGGGTTAGGGTGGCTATGCTAGGAGATAACAAACTCCAGGGACACAATAGCAGAAAGATTTGGATTTGTTAGTCCCTAAGGAGCATTAACAGTAGGTGTAGACTCAGAGTGAAGTGCTGAAATAAAGTAGAAATGGAAACCTATTGAATGTTATTGAAAATTCTTCTCACAAATGTTTGAAAGATGATTAAAGGAAACCTTATTCAACTAGATATTAATATTTGATAATGATCCAAACCTCAGATCTGATTTTGGGTGGACAGAATGGTAATATGAAAGTTAGGTTTTGGAAACAACCTGGTGTTTCCTTGTAAGAGTTCACAAGTATCAGTGCTGTGAATGCTGGGATGAAGTTTGGTGTTTCTGTCTATGTTTTCCACTTCTGAAGATGCCAATAAACCTGTCAGAGCAATATTATCTGTTAATCTGTTTAATATTAACTTCAACATTTTTCAAGCTTTCATGCTCATTTCCTGAAGAATTTGGAAGTCAAGCAAATCTGATATTATTGCTCATAAAATTGGTAGGAGTCACATCACTGAATCTTAAACTCCTTTGGGATTGCACTTAGAGGGAGCAGGAAGAGGAACAAGTGGTGTCAAAATCTGAATAATTGTATCTATGGTAAAAGGGGGTCAGCAGACTGTTTGAAGAAAGTGACATCAGTAGCCTTCAGTTCTTGTGTGGATCAAACTGCGGAGGTAACATTGGAGAAAAGCAGAAAAACACACCATCAGGGCTGGTGTCCCAGATTGATATTACACCAACTGAGAATTCATTTTGCTTTTACTAGAAGCTATGAAATACTTAATTAAAAAGATCATGTTGGCAAGAAGACTTTTTATTAGTTATATCTAATCACAAGCAATTACTGTAGTATTAAACAGGTAATGTACCAAAAGTGTCATTTATTGTTATGAGATTCTATGTAGTTTAATGCTCTGTTTAATGATGATAATAATAATAATTGACAAAGCATTAGCAGGAAACTTGTGAGATCATTCCCCATCTTGTTCTGCATAGAAGGAATCTTCTTGTCCATTTGGGATAGCAAATGACACCATTAAGATCCAGCCTGCCAGGCAGTCACTAAGTTCAGCATTTCACAGAATCACAGAATGGCCAGGGTTGGAAGGGACCTCAAGGATCATGGATCTCCAATCCCCCTACCACGTGCAGGTCCACCAACCTCCCCATCCCCATTTAATACTAGACCAGGTTGCTCAGGGCCCCATCCAATCTGGCCTTGAACACCTCCAGGGATGGGGATTTGAGTCTCACATCATCAAATATGAATGCTTTCAAGTCTCTCCACATGAAAAGGAAGTGGGTGAGCACTTTCTGTTTAATCTGAATCAGGTTACTCCACTGGACTTTTCACATCCTCCAAAACCAGAGTGCAGAGGGCTTTTGAAGGGCTTCCCATGTCAACATCTTTCCCTGTAAGCAAGGCCAGGAAGTTCTCTTTGTATTAATGTCTTTCTTTAAGATGAACATTTAAATCAGATTTCTGCCTAAGTAAGTAATCCAAAGAGAATGCTTGCAGAGAGAGATGCAGCACTACAGCAGAAGCAAACATTTCAACCCTTTCAGGGGGTTGGAACTTGATAATCTTTAAGGTCACTTTCAACTGAAGCCATTCTATGATTCTATGATTTGCCTTTAAGTGTTCACTCCTTACTTTGGCTGGCATAATGAAGAAACTGATCTGTATTTAACAATAAATGTCTGTAAGTATGTATTTTCTTCATTTTCCCCATTTTACATAAAACCCCTGACCCCTAATAGCCTTTCCCATATGCTGTCTCTCTTCTGCTAAGTAAGGACCCTCAATCTCAATTAACTGTTAAGTTTTCTTCTCTTAGTTTTCTTCCCTTACTGGTTTCTCAATTGGCCTTTAAGTCTTTTTTTTTCCTCTTATTTTAAAATATCCTTTTTTTTTTTTTTTTTTTTTTTTTTTTTTTTGTCTGCCAGCTGAAGCATTTTTTTACATATCTAGCACAGGGATCTTCCCTTCTACAATTTCAAGTTCCATTTCAAGTTGACTCACAGATTGCCTGCAGGAGGAGTTAAGTGTTGCACTGTGATTTTGCACCAAAACAGTGGCTGTGTTTTGGGTCTGTTGGTGGTCCATCTGCCTGAATGGCCAGCAAGCTTTAAGTGATTTCCATTTCTGCTAGAGAAAAAGATGCCAATGGCAGATTGTATGGTTTGGTGTGTATTAAAGCATCCAATTAAGGGACCGTTTCAGAGCCTTACCCAGAACTGATAAATTCTCCTTAAACAGATTCCCTGAGCCATCACTGCTAAGTCAACTGTGATTATACACGGGTAATGGTGTTTCTGTAAGTAAAATAAACAAAAAAGGAGATGACATTATAGGTAAGATAACTTAAAAAAAAAAGTTCAAACTAAACAAACAAACAAAAAAACCCATCAGGATTTAGTGCACATATTTCTCAAGACAGAATTTGATTTGAGATATTCAAAAAGCATTAAGCATATGGATAATGCACTGTAGTAACCCAGTTGATTTCCCTACTTGCCACACTGAAATCACAGGCCCTGCTCTGCTGTGAACCTGACCTCAAGATTTTGGACCTGCCAGGTGAAAGACAAAACAATTATACTGGCAGAAAGCCATTACTATGTACTTTATCCTAGATTTGAAGGACGTTTCTTTTGAAGGTTTAAATCTATGCACAATTTATATTTACTTCAGTGATCTCTATGTTATTTTTTTCCGAGAGAGATTTTGATTTCAATGTCTGCAATCCAGCATAACATCTTGATTTTCTCACCTACTCAAATTGTCAACATGAAGGCGTGCTTACTTCTCACTGAAATTGACATCATTGCCATTAAATATATTGGCATCTACATGGTTTTATGTGTATCAGTGCATCCTTAGATATTTATTATTTGTGTATTTCTCATTGCTGTCTTGTTTTTTCTTGGCAGCAGCTTTCTCACCTCTGCTCATATTGTTGTCTAATACAATTAATCAACAGGAACTACTGTTCTGTACAGTCACTGACTCACAAATATTATAAAAGCTCTGTCATTTGGCACCATGACAATACGAAAATAACAACATCAAAATGTGTTTCTCTTCATCATGCAGTTACTTCTGCGGAACTACAAATACATTTTTTATTCATAGGAAAAAAAAAAAAGAAAGAGAATGAAAGGATCTTTCTAGTAGAGTTTGATTTCTAGAAAAAAAAAATACACTCTGTCTCTCCAATTCCATTTATTCTTCATTTGCTTAATGGATAATTATATCCAGAATATGGAAATGGTAATAACTGAATCTTTATTTCAATGACAGTGTAAAACGAAAAGGGCATGGTTGGGAAACTCTCTGAATCTGCTCAAAAGAAAATAAATTTCCAGTAAATAACAAATTAGCTTTGCACTACAAAATAAAATAAACAATGGATCCAAACTTTATTTTGTAGTTGTAGAAGTATGGAATGTTTTCAAAATGGTAATTTAGCAAATTGGATCCTCTAATTTATTTAATGTGTTTCAGGCTGATCTGCAAGTGGAATTACTCGTTAACCAAAGCAGAACTGAGAAGTAATAAATTTGAGGAAATACTTAGAATAAGCCTAAAAAAACAAAACAAAATACATATTTTTACCTAAAAAGGTATTTAGTATTAGTGTGAGAAATGCATAGGAAATTCCAGTTTTCTGTTTTCCACTATCTTTTGCAATGTGATCTTAGCTCCAGTGAAATCCATAGCAAAATAATAATAATAAAACGAAACCTTTGCTGGAATGAAAGCAAGCGCTTTGTGAAATACGTAGCACGTGGCACACTGAGAACTACGACGTTAAAAACTGAAACTACTTTTTTTTGTGCTGCTTTCTTATTATGACCTCCGTGAGCCCTCAGAAACCTTCATCCTACTTTTCATGGGAATGAAAACATTTCTGCACATTTCTGGCTCTATGTTTTTAACCGTTCACCAGAGCAGAAGAAGACACTTATCTCCTTATTGGAAAAACAGAGTTTGGAGCTATTGTTTACCCACAAAACAGACATAATATAAGCAATAGCAGCCAAGAACTGGTGTCTTGATCTCTTTCATCCAAAATATTCTGGTTTTTGGAAGAATAAACTATTACTTACTTAGCTGTAAAAGTCCTTCATTTGCAATCCTCTCAGTGCGTCTGATTTTTCTTTGGTCCCTGCCAATAAGACAGGACATTTATATTGGCCAGAATTCAATTGTGATGACAAGGGAATGAGGAAAGTCCTAACCCACTTTACACAGGTCGTGATATATTCTCATCAAAGAATAGCATTACTAAAGTAGGACTTATGGTGATTTCTAAGAGGTGAAGAATACTGTGAAAGCATGAATCCTTGGAGCAATTAAATCCTTCAAAAGGCAGCCATGTAACAGGATTTCATCTAGAATAAGAAGTAAAAGACCTACATTCTTGAGTCACATATAAGATAAAGCTCAAATTCTGCATTTCTTTTCCAAAGAAATTATTTGAAAAATATCCTCTTTATTCAACTGCCAGACCTAAAGCTTTCCAAGAGAATATACTGCTTCCTTTGATCCTACTTTGGCACAGACACAATCTGTTTCATTGTAATCTGAATCCTCTCTTTTGTTTCATGTTCAACATCAGACATTTTAACGAAGAAGAAAAAGGCCCTGTTCTACCCATCACTCACAAATATCTTCTCTGCATCTTTTTACTCTACCTCTGAAACTGGCAGATCTTACAAGCATAAGATGCTGAACATTGCATCTCCAACTTTACTGTGTTCTCTAAAAGTTTCCCTGAACTATAGCTCTTCTGTTTGCACGTCTGTAGTTTGAACCTGTCAAATACTCACCATTGTTGCATTTTGGAATACAAAAGTTCAGTTCTCAATCACTCACACATTTTTGGAGAACGACTTGATTTTACTAGCTCTGAGTTTAAATGGAAACTCAGCTCTACCTCAAGGGTTGCCAGCCAATACATCACAACCGTCCAGCTAAGGTTGCTGCCATGAACTCAGGCCCTCAGATTATTCACCCTGACAACCAAGAAGTCAGGCTTTAAATCTAGGCTCACTGTCATTGACTGCAGCTAGGATTTATGACTAAGCTTCTCTTAAATGCTTATATCAATAAATCATAATTGCTCTTCTGGGATGAGCAGGATTTTGCTATTCAAATCTTTCCGCTGCAAAATCAGCTGGCTGCCCTTGACATTTGCATTTTTAAAAAGTTTCACTTATTTTCTTCCTATACTCACAAAACATTAGCCATGCTTTTGAATAATCTACAATAAAACAGAGTCCAGTTTTACACTTGGAGCAATGTCAAGGTTCTCAACAAGGGCTGTTTTTGAAAAACGAACAATAAACCAGCTCATCTTTATGACTAACCACTTCAGACAGGACAAGAAGAGTTTTAGGAATCCTTGTTGCCATATATCCCTTGCTGCAAGGGATAATCCTATAAACAGTTATACAGAATTCTAGATATCTTTGTGTTTCCTCTTGTATTTTTCTCCACTGCTTATCAATGACCTCAGCTGCTGCATGGAGGTGTTGGTCTATTCTATATAGGCTTTTTATCACTTCATCTTGACAGAAAATCTTTCAGTCATATGCTCCTCACCAAGTTTTATTTACTCGTTTGGATATTATGGACCCTAGTTTTCCTGACTACCTTAAAAGAAACTTCTTTGGCCACCTGGGCACAACTACTGGTTCATGTTCAGCTGGCTGTCAGCTAACATCCTCAAATCCTTTTCCTCCATGCAGCTTTCCAGGCATTTTGCCCCAGACCTGTAGCGTTGCCTGGGTTTGTTATGACTGAAGTGCAGGACCCTGTGTTTGGTCTTGTTGAACCTCATCCCACTGACCTCAGCCCAGCTATACAGCCTGCCCAGATCCCTTTGCAGGGCCTTTCTTCTCAGGCAGATCAACACTTCCTCCCAAATTGGTGTGATCTGCAAACTTACTGAGGGTGCACTCAATCCCTGATTCAGATCATCAATAATGATATTAAAGAGGACTCTCTCCAATACTGACCTCTTGGGAGCAGCACTCATGATCAGCCACCAGGCTGGATTTAATTCCAGTCACCAAACACATGCTCTGGGTCCAGCCATCAAGCAAATATTACACTTGTCTAAGCCACAGGCTGCAGCTTCTCTAGGAGAATACTGTGGGAGACAGTGTCAAAGGCTGTGCTGAGGTCTAGGTAGACTATGTCAACAGCATCTCCCTCATCCACCATGCAAGTCACCTGGTCATAGAAGGACATGAGGTTGGTCAGGTAGGACCTGCCTTTCATGAACACATGCTGGCTGGGCTGATCCCCTGGCTGTCTCACACTTACTGTGTGATTTCACTCATGATTATCTGCTCCACAACCATCCCTGACACTGAGGTCAGTGAGAATGAAATCTTTTCTGGGTGCAAAAGCACTGTACATTTTCATTTCACTTGTTCAGATAAACATGGATGAGTGAGTCAGATGGTAATCTTTATTCTTTCTTTTTAAGTATCTAGTGATGGAGTACTTATCAAAAGGCTGAGTCATGCAAATGTGTTTCTGTCCAAAGGTTTGGCTCTTCCAGCACAATTCAGAGTATCTAAAGAGGTACGGATAATCTGCACCCACTTCAGTTGTCTTTATTGTAATGCTCTGAAGTGTTGCAATACTCTCAATTATTTTAAAAGCAATGGTGGAAAGAAACAAGCAAACACAGGAAAATGGAATAATATTTTGACCTAACTGAACTGAAGCCACTACTTCTGTTACAGGAAGAAAGTTTCTTTACAGAAGCCAAAACCAATTACAGTAAAATATACTGCAGTCCATCTTTGACATCAGAAAGATCTATGGTGAATTTTTATTTTCAGCATAAAGAATGTCTGCTAGGCAGATACTTTATTCTATCATTCTCCATATACATGAGAGGAGAGAGAGGCACTAAAGGAGAAGGAAAGATGGAGAAGAGAGTAATGGTAACAGGATAGAGGAGAACCAGGGCATCTTCAAATATTTAACAAAAAAAATTAACTAACATCAGTGATATGTATCTGGAATTATTAATGCAACATGAAATCATGCAGGACATACAAGGAAACGATTTAGCATTACTCATTTGAGTGGAAAATGTGTCAAGAAGTGTACTGTCCCTTTTCCCTAGAGAATATGTAGCAGTCAGAGTTACTTAATTTTAGAGGATTCCCATACACATTTCTAACTACGTTCTTCCTAGATGAGTGGATGAAACGAGGTCAGAAGTTTACTAAGTATATGAGGAAAGAATAATTAACAAAGAAGTGCAGCCTCTCAGGTGAAAGGAGCTAAAGCAGAAGGAAGGACTGGTCTCGAGCAGACTGTTAGGACACAAGCTTTGGCTGTGCAAACAGGCTCTGACTCTGAAGCAGATATGCACACATGCTAGAACAGGGTTTCAAATATTTTTAGCCCTGGATTGCCTCCACCTTGTAAACTTTCAGTGGGTCTCTGCAGTTCGATTCTTTTTCTTGCAGCAAACTTCCTCACCTTTGGGGAAAAAATGTCTAGAGATTATGTTAGGAGAGTGAACACCCTTAGCCCTAGGTCTAGGTCAAACACTGACTTGAAGAAACAATAATTGTATCAGTAAATTTTTTCTGGCACAATATCTGTCACCTGTTTCAAAAGGGTTGAAGACAAACATGCCCATTCCTCAGCTTAAACAAACCTGGCCGCCTTGTTGTGCTGGCAAGAGGTGGATATGTTTGTTTTCCTTTTTTTTTTTCTTTCAATCAAGTTTTAAAAGATCCTTGTCACCAGGTCTCCACAACAGCCATTTTAAGCACTGAGCTGTTTGGTTGTTTTTATTTTTTTCTTGCCAACTCCTGATTTCTTCTTTGTTTTTAAAGGGGGAATTTGACAGTTTCATTCTGCAGGAGGTGGGACAGCCTCTTTACTTGTGTTCTTGTCCCCCTCCTTCTGGAGAATCAGTGCCTGGGAAAGACATAAACCCTGGGGAATCATTAGTGATTAGCAGTCATATTATTCCATGCAAATATTTGTGGAAGCATTAAGAACAATGTAACTTACTGTATAAGACAATTATATTATTGAAATACATATCTATCCCTGTGGTCATCCACAGAACTTCTCTCTTATGCATAGTTCAGGATCCACTGAATGCAATGACTTATTCTGCAGGAGCCTGTACTAGTTTAAAGCTTAAATTCAATGCTATTATTAATTGGTTAATTGATCAGGGTGTTTTTTTCCCCTCATTTTATCCATTTCTAAAGACTTTCTGTAATAATTTTTTTTCCATCTTAATAATCCTTTCCATCTTAAATGTAGACTAAGATGGGCTACAAATAGCCTTGAAGTTATTCATTGTTCTCCAAGAAAATTATGAAATCCTGTAGTTTTGCCTACAATACCTCATAAGTAGACCTTGGGATTCATTAATGACTAAAAATCACATACTTGGTAGAAAGAATTTTTTGTAAACCTTAGTAAAAAAATCTTATATGTACTTTTCATATTATTATGTAAGAGAATAATGACATAAAATTACCCAGAGTTAAGTGCAATGTAAATCTATCAGCTGAGAATCTGCACAAAAACATGAAGACATATAAAATTCTATAGCCAATGCATTGTTCATATTGTAAAATATCATGTAAATTAAAAAAAAAATCAAAACTTTATCCATGTCCTCTTAGCCAAGAAAACCAGAGATCTAAAGGCTTGTCTTACAAATTTATAAAACAGTTGTTGTTAACATGCTGATGCAGAAATAATGCTAAATTCTTCACAAAATGAAATCAGTAAAGAAGGGAAATGATAGAATATTATTTTAATGATTAAATCAATTTAGGCTGAGGTCACGCTGAATTTAAGGAAGTCATTATATATCCAAGGCTGTATTTTGCCTTCCTTTAGAGAGGACTAAAGTATATTTGATTCCTACAACAAAATTTGTGATGCACTGTCACTCCAGTTGCAAATGAAAGCTGCTCCTCTTGAATGCAAACCTTGGTACTATGACCCACGTATTTTTGAGTTTGGATTTGAAAAGGTTATGTCACTAATCACTTCAGAAAATGAAATACCAGGTGTAACTATACCTCCTCCCATTCAATGTTTTAAAAGACATGACTCACTGTAAACAAGCTCTTCTCATCCACTAATCTTTTAGCCCTTCTCTGTACCTATTCCAGCCTAGATTTGTCTTATCTGAAGATAGACAACAGGTAATGCAGGCAGCATTCAGAGATGCATTCAGTAGCCTAAATATTTTATCATCTTCACTGGAAAAAAGGCAGCAGTTGCTGTTTTTCTAATGCCCTACAGAGTGGCTTACAGGCAGAATCCTACTGAATACTGTATGTTGCATTTTCATATGTCAAGCTGATGACTTCATCAACATCTTCTCTACCTGAATAATTCTCTACTATGTATCACATCAGATGCTTTAGAAAATACAAAAAACAAGATTTCCAGTTACTTTTTCTTTCTTTTCTTCTTCTTTTTGTTTTTCTTTTCCAAAAATATATGTCATATGTAAAAACATCACCACGATTTAGTTTTAGTAAGTTTGTGGAGAATTTTACTTTCTTATCCTCACATACAGGTTGCCTTTCTGTTCAGACTGAAGTGAGCACAGCAGATGCACAAGCAATGGTTTCACATCTTGCATCAAACCATTCTCACTCAAGTTGAAAAGGATGTATCAATATCTCTACACATTGTACGTGCGAAGTATGCCAGTGGATCAGATTATTTACAGTTCTTATGATCTTACTATAAATTATTACTCAGTCACATTGTCAGCATCACTTTGAGAAGGAAAAATATAAAATAAAATGGACTCATTTTTGCACCATGCATATGTAATTTGCTGAACTCATTTCAGACATTACACTTAGGACAACCTTAGAAGTATTCAAGGTAACAATTCATCTCTGGTGTGGATGGAAGTGAATGCTGACTGTAACATCGAACAGAGAATGAAAGGGCTACAAAGCATTGTGCTCTAGGTCCTGTGCTGCAGTTATCTGCAGTGCTTAGGAGGAAGATACTGTTCTGATTTGTTCTTTCCAGCACCAAAAAATTTATCATTCTTCTGAAGCAGAAGTGAAAGAGCACAGGATGCTGCAGTAGATAGACCATAAGACAGGAAACAAACCCAGAAATTCAGAAATTCTCATTTCAAACCTCTTAATCTTTTCTATCATTAATTTTGCCTATTCTATTTGTAAACTCCATTAAAGTGCATTAAAAACCATAATACTGAAGGCAGACAAGAAATCTAATTATCTTTTGTTGCAAAGCACCATATGTTTCTTTTAACTTCAAATAATAGAGTGAAGAACATTAGTATTTTAAATGAATCTTTGATAAAGTTGAAAAAGAGAGAGGAGAAAAAAAAGGTTACAGCGTACAGAAGGGTACATCAAAACAGGTGACATGGTATGTCATGGTTATGTCAGACATCGTTTTGCTTCCAGCTGTGGCCTAATTGTTGGATATTCTCTTTTTTTTTTCCCTATTGTTACTGTATTTTTGTGTGCTCATCTAGCTGCAAAAGCACCAGATGTCTCCATTGACTTTTTGAATGTCTAAGCAAACTGGAACATAATCATAATTTTAAAGCTCTTCATATAATGCATACATAAGAGATAGCTCTGTTCTTTGAAATTTGTTATTTATTCCAAAATTCTATCCTTCAAAACAAACAAACAATGATTTCTAATTCAAAGACTCTTCGTCCTGCAACATATCTTTGCTAGATGAGGAAAGTGAGGGTGTGTGGTTGCAGAAATTGAGTCATCAGCCATCAGCCCATCTCAACCTTCGGGCTTGATGTTGGCAACACATGAGGGATACCTCCAGCCCAAACTTCATAAAGGAGTGCATTGTTCCCAAACAAATACACTGAGCTCATCCTGTTTCACCCCTTCCTGGAGCATGGAGATGAGCCATTTGTCAAACATGGTATCCATTTATCAAGGGGGATCCCTAAGGAGGCAAACTCTTGAAATGGTAGCCCTTCTGATGACAAAAAATGGGAAAATATTTCTTCACAAATGTTTCTCTTGCCCACCTGTGAAATCATCCTTTTCCTCTTCCAGTATGATTTCATGAAATCACTGCATGCTCTTCCAGGTGATCACTACAAGTCTGCAACTGAGCTGGTGTATTTGAAAGAAAAGCAAATAGCTGATTAGATATTTTGATGTCAGCTTTTTCTACTACTTTATGTATTTCTCGGCCGCTTACTTGCATTAAACTTCACAGCCTGCACTTACTTGGACTGAAATTAGATACTTATTTAGCAAGGTGGAGATCTGGTAGAAATTTCTGTGTGATCAGCAAATATTTTTACTCCTCGGCCTGTTTCCCAACACATAGAGTGTATGTAGATTGTGGAATTTGGAAGTTTTATGTTTTAAATGTATTTTGCACTTTCATGTTCTCAATGTGGCATGGCATTTTCAAATCGAATCACATCTTTTTGTTAAAGTACAACAAATGTAGTTGAGGCTTAAGGGAAAAAAGAAAGATTTTTGTACATGTGTACACATTTGTTCTGTTTTTCTTTTAAAGGATTACTTACATTCTTTCCAAAAGGGCTAGCAATACATTTATTTTTCCCCTCAGATAGGAAATTAATTATAACAGCAACTTCTGCTTTCCTTAAATATATTAGGACTTTAATATTTGATACTGGGTTAAGATCTGAAAAGAGAAATAAAAGCTGTTAAAACTTTAACACATTGCTTCAGTTTCCTCAGAAAGTCTGGGAAAGCAATTCCCTATCTATTCTATTCATTATATGAAGCAAAAGAGGATTATTTTAAAGGTGTTCAGAGGCCTTAACTATGAATTATCCTCGTGGAATTGGCATGTAATGAAGATTTTAGACAAAATTCTGCTCTCAGATGAAGCCACATTAACTTCTTTGACTTCAGGATAGGTTCAAATGAAAGCAGATCTTGAACACAGTTTTTTAGGAAATGTCTCCTTCCTTGCTCAGAGAAATATCCATGTAGGTCAGTCCTGCCCCAGTGGGGGACCAGGGTCTGTCAGTCACCTGCAATACAGAGTGAAGGAATTCAGAAACTAGGTAAAGAAATTGAATATGAGACAGCCAAAGTATTTTACTCAAAGTAATAATCAGAAAATTGCAGGGCTTTTTTTTTTTTTTTAACATCTCCTAAGAATTTCAGTTTTGTTTTGTTCACAGAAGGAAGAGGTAACTGGCTGATATAATTTCCAGATTGAAAAGAAACATCTTCCTAGCTAAGCACTTCATTTGAATCCTGACATTTCCTTCTAGATCCTCTGAGTTTCCATCTCTCCACTTCAAACATATTATTCCAGATAATAGCTATGGTATTTGCCATTTTTATCCTCTCCTCTCAGTGGTTTTATAAAAGTGCTTTTTGCATATATTGGTCTAAAGTGCTTCTTGCAGGGTTTCTGAGTGCACAAAGGAGCACTCCAGGCAATGTTGGCCTGAAGTAGGTGCTTAAGACACTTTTCACCTGTTATTTTTTCCACTGTTATGAACTGCACTTTTGTGTTGTCTCTTTAAAATTAGCCCATCGATACTAGTATTAATTGCACATCTGAGTTCTTCAAATTCATCCAAGAAACAAACTTCAAACACAAGACAAATATGATCCAGACTGCAAGAACAGTGAAATAAAAGCTAATTTCATAAGATCTATTGAAAAAAAATATGGAAACAGATGTTTTAAGACAAGTAAGATATTAATGCATAATTGATGTGTCAGGTCAGTTTGAATAGTTTCCTACATCGTCAATTAACCTCTGTAATGTCTGCTAATTCTTAATATTATTTTTAAATTATCTTTTTCTTTTTTCCCTCAGGTGATATAATCAAATTTTAAAAGAAATTATTCTATCTGGGATTCAAACCATTGTAATCTCTGCTAGAAGACGTTATGCAAAAATATATCCCTGATACCAAGAAAGTGTTTCTACTGTACATCCCTTTTGCAATGATTCTTTTACACCTGCTTTCTGAGGGGCAGCACTTTCAGTTTTCCTGGTTTAATGAATCTTATGTTCTGAAGAGTGGACTGAAGATAGAGGGAGGGATTATGGTGTCCTCACCAAGAACATCTCAGATGGAGGCATAAATTTCATCTCACTCCTAGCTGAGGAGGTCTTTCAGCCCCATCACAAGGCTGATAGTCTAACCTCAGCCTACTCATAAAAAATGCAAAATGACTCTTCTGAAAGCACCGTTCTACCTTTAGCACACAATCCTGTTTTTAAGTGAGCATTCATCAGTCCTTCAAAGAAAGCACATAGATAACCCTCTTCATTAGATGATTTCAATTGAAATTCAAGTGGATGATGGCCAGGCTACAAAATCCCAAGTGAGAGACCTGTGCTGCAGTGGGACTGGCATATAAGGCACTTTTATCTTTTTCTTCCATCTTTTTTGGAGATGTCTGCTCTCAGAACAGTTTTGGATCTTTGCTTTATAGATGAAGTAGGATGTTTGTAAATGAAATCTATTGCTGTTTTTCATTTTATTTAATATATTCTTTATTTTATGTTATTCTTACTGGGTTTGGTCTTAAGCATCTTTTGCACTAATAGCCTCCCATTCTGTCCTTAGGCAACAACTTTGTAAGCTTCCTGTCTTCACTGTAGAGCAGTTCCCTACCCTGCCAAAAAAGAAGAGGGAAATGGGCAGTTTCCCCTGCGCCATCATAAATCTTTCCTGCCATGACTCCCATGATGAGATGGAGCAGGTGATTTCTTCTTGCAGCTGCATCAGAGGGGCCAAAAGGAATCCTATGCTATTACTGTTTACAGAGTCCATAAAGCCCTGTTGAGATCACCGTCTCCACATGCTCACAGTACAGAATGGATACAACAAAGTTTGGATATCATCCAAAATCTGTCTCCAGTTTTCTGTTTTCAGCAGGCAAGCTTTTAAAATATATACTAGGATAATGTGAGCTCAGGAGATCTTTATTTAAACAAATAGAATTAGGTTGTACAGCTATGTTGTTAATGACAGTTCCTGAAGCACATTTAACAGCAATTTGACATTATTATTACAGCTAAGTAGTTTTCATAAGTCCTCAGATAAATATTTCTCCACTAACTCATCAACACAAAGAGTTGACCTCAGCTTTCTTTCAGACCCCATCAATAAAGCTCCTTGGGAAGCAGAGGGGACATTTAAAACAAAAACAAATTCAAGAACTTCCACCTCCTCCTGCTCTATATTAGCTAAACACACTGAGCCTGCAGGGCTGCCCATCCCCTGATGGCTCGTAATAGCCGTTTTCATTCTATTCTAAGGGTAAAGTTGTTCATAAAGGTGGGCTGCCTGCTGGGCTTCTGATGGATTTAAGATCTTGATATTCAGATTACGGTGCAAGTAGCTAAAGAGAAAGGAAAATGGATACTAGTCTTGCTGTTGTATTCAACAGAAGCCTAATCATATCGGGTTGGTTTTTTTTTCCTTCCAGATCAGCATTATTTATGTTTAGCCTTCATTAACAAGGTTTAGATTAAGCAATCAGTTACAGCAAACCCTACACAAAAAGGAATGTGCTCTCTTTTAAATAAGGCACTGTAAAAATCTGCTAAGCTTCTCTACAGAGGAGCATAAAGACTGTACGTTTGTAGAGATACACAAACATATTAGAAAGACCAAAAATGCCAGCTTTTTGCTGTTAAATTCAGCATATCTAAATAAGATAATGCTGTTAGCAGGAAGGAAAGATATTCTGCCAACGAGGGAGCATCACTGTGTTTTCAGCATGATAGAAATATTAAAGGATTTTGTGTCCAAGGTATTTTCTTCAGAACATGCCCACTGCAAAGCACACTACCATGATCTGCCTCCAGAATGCCTTTTGCATTCTAAGTGGATTTAGGACTCTTGTGGTCCTCTCCTGGTCACCCAGAAGAGCTGGACTTATTTTCCATCCCATTCTCTACATTACAAAGAAGAAAGGGAGAGAAGACACTAGGAATACTGGTACGCAATTACCACAGACTGCAGCCACACAAGACCTCCATGGTTTTTTGAGAACAGTGTACATGATGTATCTGACGGTGATCTCCCTGGACTTGGACACCTCTCTGTGCCACAGGCAGATCTGCTGTCCTGAGGTGACTGGTTGGCTCTCAGAAGAGCTCCTGCACGACCTGAGATTTCTCTAATACCCAGAAAAGTCCTTCCAATCATAGCTTTTCTCTAATACCCAGAAAAGTCCTTCCAATCATAGCTTTTAGTCCTTGTCAGTCCATGGAGTTGCTCTGTTACCCCTAATATCCTTGTCCATGGCTTCTGCTTGCTTTTAAACCAGAACAAATATAAATCTACATTCTCCAAAATGTCAAGGCACATTTCCTTCAATCTTCATTTTATGAGCATTAACTCCTAAACAGTATGGGACAGAAACAGTCTCCTTACTGGCACACAGCTCACTTCTTCAGTTCACAGTTCTCTTTCAATTCTGGATAAAATTCACAGCATGAACTGCTCTTCCCTTAACTTGGTCAGATTTTTTGCATCATGCTCTCATATAATAGGGTCAAAAAATATGTCTTCAGAGACCTTTGAATGCAGTGCCTGGCTGCTGGGGGCCTGGGGACCTTGTCAAAGTCTACCACAGCCATTTCGCTGCTTCATAAGCACACAGCAATGTGAGATGTCGCAATAGCAGGATGAGCAAATTCAGCACCAAAGTAGATCAATGGCATGGAAATCTCTGATTGTTCTCCTTGATCTGAAAAAGCATCCAATACAACTCTGTGCATGTGTTAAAATGAAAAAGTACCATTATTTTTCTCTTCTTTGGAAAAAGCTCTGAAAGCCCTTTTTCCTCTTTAATATACTAATAGATGTAAATGATTTCAGATGTCAGTGTCAGATTAGGATGTAATGACAGAGGACATAAGGTATTGCTGGACAGTAAAATGCCTCTGGCCACAAGCAAGCCTGTCCTTGTTAATTTTATCTCAGCCCCATCTCCCTGATTTGTCACTGGCTCTGAATGTTTCAATCCCTTCTCTCCATAAAAATGTTGAGCTGTCTCTTAAATTCATTTATGCTGTTGCCTCTTATGACCTTACTTGATAACTTACTCTTTGTGTTTTCCATCCTAAATAAAAAGCCCTGCATGAGTGAGTTCCCTTATTGATCTTAATTTCCTGATTTTGAGGTTGTGTGGCTGTCCTGGGTAATTCCTCCCCAGTGTGAGTGTTATATTTACGGTTACTTATTTTGATTCACTAGCTAAAAATATTGCCTGTTTGTTCATTTACTAAAAGATCTGTTGGCAGCCCCTTCTGCATTTTTATGCTAGATACATTTGGAAAAAGTTTTAAGATATCTTACTGTTGAACTATACATATATACATACATAACAGGTATCCTTCACCCAGGCTGGGCATGGGCCCAGTACACACAGCCCAGAGCTGGGTAGCCAGCTCTGGCAATGGCTTCTCCCAACACTCCAGTCTTTTCCTATTTCTATGGATGGAATATTTGAAACCATCCTCCTCCACTATTTCAGACAACAGACTAGAGCACAGCTTCTACAAAACGACTGCATCAGGCTGTCATAATAATTTTCACAATGCTACTGTTTCAGAAATGTTATTAAGAATACTGTGCTCACCTCCAGTCTCCATACCTCACCTTTGATTATTAGTTAAACTATTATATATGCATTTTCTATTTCAAGACTTTGTGCTCCGATTCACTCAAAAGACATCATTAAGGCTTTCCCTGTTTCATTTCTGTGCAGATTTCATTGTCCGTCATGGGCAATATATCTTCCCTTAATTTTCAGAGTCCAGCCAGGTAGGTCACGATCAGATTTTTCTATAATCTTTTTATATATTTAGAGACTATAATGAGATCATCAGCCAGTCTGCTTCTTCTTTCAGACTAAATATGCTACACTTTCTAAGACTTTTTCTCATGCAACCACTCTATGGCATAAATTTAACCCCGTACCTTTCATGCACTGTTCTGAAGTATCAAAGCTGAAGGTGGTACTTCACTCTTCCTGCTTTTCAGTTAGT